ACTGTTTAGCTTCAACAAATTTAAATGACTACACAGAAAATGTATTGGAATATATTGGAGGCTTTATTGTTAGAAAACAAATAGGCGACTAAAATGTGAACAATGTCTAAATTTAGTTCAAGGCAGTGTAAATAAAAAAGGAATTGTTTTGTGTTAAAGTATTTTAAAAAGAACAGAAAATATTTTATAATTCTCCTGTATTAAGATGTTAAGTTTAAGTACACACATAAAAATTACTTTTTATGTGTGTACTTATTTCTGATGGAACATTTTCAGGAAGAAAACGTTTTATCTCTTGATGTACAAGACACCGAACATGGAGAGTTATTAGTTATGAGTATAATCAAATATTATGTATTTACATAATATTACATTATACTCATACAAATTACATTTCTGTTGCACATTTACCAAAATATTTGAATGGATTAAAAAATCCATTCAAATGTTTTGGTAAATGTGCATCAGAAAAAGTTAGTCTCCGCAATCATGTTACTAAATTTTGTTTAGAAATGAATAAAAGAAAAAATTTGTTATGAAAAATAATGAGATATGCTGCAGAACTTGATAGTTTTAAAAATAAGTTATGTTTTAAGGGAAGTTATTAATTTTGCATTCTTTCACATAACAATAGTGAAGCAAATTCAGAGGAAGTGGACTGTGTAAGGAAGGACTGAGGAAGTGGACTATAACTATTAAAAACTTTGAATTTTGAGTACCCGTTGAAGACCTGATTAATTTTACTTACTATGAGTAAGATAACAGCCTATATACTACGTGCCACGGTAAACAGACGTACCTACTCTAAATTTTTAATTTGATTTTTCGACTATATTTGCTTTGTAGCCGGACCCTGTGACTGCTTATACTATATCAAGCAAATACATTGTGAATTGGCTGTGTCTATTACTACTAATATTGTATTTTAAATTATGCATCAGATGCATATACAGTAAAGTGCAAGTAAAGCTCTAAATTTTTTTTTATAGGATAGTGTGACAAACGAGCACACAGTCCACCTGATGGTAAGTGGTTGCTGTGGCCCATAGACATCTACATCTATCCTCGATTATGAATCAAAATGCAGATGCGTTGTCACCCGCGAGGACTAAGATGGAATGCCTCGTTTCCAGTAAAAAGGGTCTCCGATTCTCTACACTCACCATACGAAACACAGCAGCATTAAGCTACTATTTGACACTGGTATTCTGTGAGAGTGTGGTCCTTACCCGGTCGAGCTGACCCATTCGTGCTAAAACTATACTACCAATATAACTGCAGCATGGCTCTACCACGTATAAAAACTTTCAGTTCGGTTTTTAAGTTCATACAGTTTACTACCACGAATTGCCCAAGATCACCAGGTTTGTGCCTGACATGTTTTAGAGGGTATCTATATTTATGATACATTTTATATAAAGTAGGTTTTTACGAGAGTTCACGAAAAGGTCTTCAAACTATATATTCCTAAACATTGGGACAATATGTATTTCATAGGTATCCTATTATTATTCGTAAAATGTATTATAGTTATAAGTTTTTGTGAAAGAAAAATTGACGGCGCGCAGGATTTGAACTTGTGTCGTCTGGAGTACCAATCCATACAAGAAGATGCAGGTTCGAATCGTGCCCTCAGTCAGTTTCTCTTTTACAAAAAATATAACGAGACATCTTAGCGTGAAAAAAAAGATAAATATTGTAAGTATTTTTGTTACAAATAAAGAATGGGATATCACCCTAAAAAATTTAAGATAATCACCGATGATATTTTATTTACCAATTTTTTTTGCCTCGGTGGAAATCTTATTTTTATTAAGATGGAAAGGTATATGAAAATAATGTTTTTTTAATTGGGTACGTTTATTGTTAAAACTTCTTAAATTAAAAATGACCAACAAAAAATTTTTTTTCATCACATTGATTTTAATTGTTCATGTGTTTAATGTAATTGTTCATGTTCTATTTAGAATCAGAAATGATTATTCAATTTGTGTATCGTATTTTATTTCGTACTTGTGAGAACCTTTTGCATCATTTAAAAATTGTAATATTTTGGCATAAGTGCGATTGATATGATCCAACTCTCAGCCACTAACTGCTTCTTTTTTGTCAATATTTGCTAATAAAAATGTAATTTATTTTTCTACTCTATACATCCATCCATTACATTCTAAAAGATAATTGTAAATTTATTTATTTTCCTACTCCATCCATCCATTACCAGGCCTCTGTCACTCTTGCTACCTGCGTGAAATAATTACCTAAAATCGCGACGCGCCCGGGCGAAATAACGCAGTCAGGGCAACGCGTTGGAGGAGATTGAATGTTAAAGTTTTTTAACGCTGTTTACGTAAATAGTTTTATGTAAATTCCTGTTGAAGTAGTTTTTGTTTAGTGTATTTAATTGTAGGTAAAAATATTTGTAAAAGTTTAAATGTATTTTAAAAATTATATTAAGTATTATGTATATTATTACGTATTTGATAAATTATAATAGCAAAACGTCGTTCCTACTATAACTGTTGCGTGGATGGATACTAAATGAAATGACCAACAAAAGGTTTCATATCATTTTTTAAGTTACCGAATAATTTTAGAAAGAAATTATGAAAAGTGAATTTATTTAATTTTTTTGTTAGATAGGTACTTACAGCAAAAAAGAATTTAGTAATAATTTGGTCTGCAGAAGAAATACTGAAGTACTTTATTACAAAAATTAGTTAAAATTTACTTCACTATCCAAGTATTTACTTACATACATACCTATACTTGTATTTTGTAATTAAAATATTTTAAGTTATAATAACACAAAATACTGAAATTAAAACTTTGTATACTAAGAAGATTTTTAAGTAAGTAGAATAGATCACATTTCTGTTAGGAATCGTATTTCAGGTTTATTTGTTGTTTCCACTATCTACCTATTTCTTCCGAACAAAGCGTTGCAATTCCCGACGAATGACCTTGCAATTTGCATGTGTTAGGCATCGCAGAACTCACATAGGAGCGAAAGTATGGTCAGTCTATCATGGTCAGAATATGTCTTCACCTAAGTAACTTAATTAACATTTCGCTATGTATTTTTTTACTTTCCAACCAACAAAAATCCGCCGTGACTTAAGAAGCGAAAAAGATGCAAAGTAATATGGACATTAACGCGCTGCGATAAAGTTTTATTTAGCTTGCGTGCGCGATTTATCTGATTAATAATAATTATGTAGGCTATTAAATGTCGGCAAGCAGTTGACATCAAAGGAGTGCAACTTCTGTACGTAGTACTATTATTTATTCTGTGCCATTACATTCTAAAAGTCCATTGCTGTGCCTAGGTCTCCACTATAGATTGCCTCATAGCATTTTGCCTTTTTATGATTTGGAGTTTGTGCTCCACTTTGTCTTTAATTGATAAATGTTCATATTTTTAATAAAGAACATGGGCTTAAAGACGCGTTAGTTCACGGGTCAAATACTCTTTAAATTACAATGTATGCGAGTGACTAAAATTCACCTGCACCACGGAAATTGTTAATTCAATGCAATAGTTTTCGAGGTTGGCGTATTATGGACTGAAGTTGAAATACGTTTGCTGTTTGAATATACCTAGCTACAGCACGAATGGGTAGGTTCGGCAGTGGTAAGTACACGCTCTCACAGAACATACTCACGATACAGCAGAATAATGCTTCGGTGTTACCTACGTACGATTAGTGTAGATAACAGAGATCCTTTTTACTGGAAATAGGCATACTATCTTAGTCCTCGGGGTGGGTCGATTCTCATTTCGGTTGGATGAACTTTGACTAGGAAATTTGAAGGGAGTATTGATGCAGTCACTAGAACAACATACTTTATGTACCTGAAAAAAAAAGAACTGCATTCTTAAAACAAAATCAATGCTATTTAAATAGGAACCTAGGGGAGACTATGCCAATATCAAGTTGAAGAATTAATAAAAGTTATGTTAGAAAAAACTAAAAAATCATACTTGGACTAAACCATCGTCTTTAAAAAGAAGGAACGTGAATCATCTGCATTGCTTCTAGGAGAAATTCGTAATGGAACATCTAGGTGGTCAACTACAAGTCTTTTTCGAAAGATCTCAGAAAAGTTTTATATTCTGTTAAGGTCAATGTGGGCAAATCCGTCTACGGGGCTATTCCATACGCATGCGTTTACTATTCATTCCAGAATAGTTACGCTGTTACTGGTTCGGTCGATAAAACAGGATCAGTTTTTAGTTCTAACTATGATTCATAGATGGAGCAAGGTTGTCTACAATTGTCAAAAAATGCATTCGAAGTTTAGTTGTGCTACGAACTCGAAACTCAAGTGTTGCGTGCCGCCGTTTCTTATAAAGGTGAAAATACACGGTTCAATCAAATTCAATCACTTTGGTTGAATGGAGCAGAAATGCAAGGAATGCTGTTTACACGGTATCTGGAAAATGAAATGTTCAACACATATTCTTCGAAAGATGTCGTCGAATGAGGTCGTACGTTTAGGAGTTGCAATAATATGTAATCATTTAATAAAAGAATTATCGAAAAAGAAGCTAAGGAAACGCCGTCGTTGGTGGGTGCGATCATGGGTATTAAGAAGGCAAGCCCTTGGAGTGTCAAACCGTCTATTGAGAGAATTGGCAAAAGAGGATCCAGATGCATACCTCAATCATCTTCGCATGAATGAAGCAAAATTTGATGAACTTCTTACAATGGTTACACCGTTAATTCAGAAAGAAAATACTATGATGAGGGATGCTTTGCCCCCAAGAGTGAAATTGCAAATCATTCTCAGACATCTTACTACTGGGGATTGTTTTGGATCATTGGAAGCATTATACAGAGTACCGAGATGCTTAATATCATTTTTTTTCGAAGCAGTGTGTGAAGCGATATGGCTAGTACTACGAGATTTTATTAAGGTCAGTAAAATATATTGTAAATAAAACAAATGAATTAAGTAAATTTAGTGTATTCTTTTAATATTTCACGACATGTTTCTCATAGCTGTTTGGAGCAAGTCCGAAGTATTATTTTCTTGAGTTGTGGGCAGTGTGCCAATTGGAACTGAGAAATGGACGAAGGATATTGCTCATGTTGATAAGTATCTGGAGACATTACATAGGTATAAGAACTATGTGACAACGATGATGAACGCGTAGAATCATGAGGGGATGTATTAATGAACTGCAGCCGTTCCTGCACCATGACTTCTTGTAATTTCTGTTGACAAATCAAAGCTCGATGTAGTGGCATTCGCTTTAACTGCATAGCCAAACTTCTACAGAATAAGTGAAATTCATCTTCGGTGTTATTTTTAGCATCATCGCTAATGATTTTCAACTGCTTTATAGCCTTGTCTATTGGTGTATCACTGCATCTTTTCCGGTTTCTCGGCGCATGAGATATATTCGCGAGAGGCTGTTCATCTTTTGAGGTCTGAGAATGTCCGCTATCTTTTGCTTGAGGAGTTTCCTGACTCTTCTCTGTGTTTTCATATTCTGTCACCTGTGACTGCTGCTCTGGGATGTTCTGTAAATAAAATTATGATTTTATTTCAGGTTCTACAAAGCGAAAGTGAATGGAGAAAGATAATGAATAGTTTTTACAAGATGTGGAATTTTCCAAACTGCTGTGGAGCCATGGATTTAAAGGTAGTAAAGATAAGATGCCCGCCAAATAGTGCTTCTGAGCATTTTGATTACAAAAAAAATTTCAGTATTATTTTATTCGCTGTCGTAGACGCCAATTATAATTTCATTTACGTAGATGTGGGAACTAATGGAAGAGCAAATGATGCTTGCGTTTTTGAAAAATCAACATTGAATAAAGCGATAACCGCGAATCTATTAAACATACCAAATGAAGATGTTTTCGTAGCAGACGATGCACATCCTCTTAAAACAAATATTTTGAAACCATATAATACAAGAGGGGAATTCAACGAAAACACAAAGTTTTCAACTATCGGCTTTCCAGAGCAAGACGCGTAGTTTAAAATGCATTTGGCATATTAGTGGCAAAATTTAGAATATTTGAAAAACCCATCCCACTCACTGTGTCAAAAGTTGAACAGTTAGTAAAAACAACGTGCGCTCTTCATAACTGGCTTAGAAAAACAACTCCCAATATTAACTTACAACATTCACTTGAGAGAGAGGATTGGGAAAAGGGATGTATTATCCCAGGAGAATGGCGACAAGTACCATCCGAGGCGATTGTGGGCATACCGCAAACCAGGCTAGGAAATCATACTGAAAACTCCCACAGAGTGCGAAATATGTTTGCAGAAAAATTCATCACTACTGACATTGTACCGTGGCAATTGCAAATGATAAGAAGTGTAGAATAATGATTTCTTATATTTACGCGAACACTACACATTGAAATAATACTAGTTTTTGCGGAATTTATCGCGTATATTTAAATTTTTAAATACCCGACGTTTCGAACGCTTTACAGCACTCATGGTCACGGGCGGGACTGAGATGTTCAACGTCCATATGTCATAGTTAACCGCGGTTACCATAGATTAAAATTTAACTTTTGTTCCGATCTATTCAGTATGAACTTATGGTATCTTGAAGTCTTGCAGTTGTATGCTTGGGTTGGGATTTAATTTTATTTATAGATAGGCAGTCCCGCGACTCCGGCAGCCGTTTTTTTTTCTTATTTCAAATACCCAATTGATGCTAGTTGCCCATTTTACCCGTGAATATGGCGCTTACAAGTATAACATAATGCCGAAATGTCTTAAACTCAGAATATGATAGTTATGTTCCTATTTTAGTTATAACTAATACTAGGCCTATGGTCAGATAAAATGTTTATTAATATTATTATTTTGTTTGTTTTCAGTTTTGTCATAATTACTAAAATAATAGTAATCATGGTGAGAAATTATAAAAGAAAAACAATAAAGAGTTTCACTGGCACTGGTTCTTAGTGGCAGTCCGAAATGGTACATTAACTGGATATAAAGCAGCGCAACTCTACCAAATTCCACAGATGACCATCATGGACCATGTCCACAAAAAAAGTTCTTCAAATACACTAGGGCGAAAAACCACTCTGCCTTTGTTGATTGAACAAAATCTCGCTTCCTGCCTCCGTACAATGGAAAAATATGGTTTTGGCCTTAGTAGGACAGAAGTTTCCCAGATGATTGGAGAATATGTAAAGCAGAATAATCTATCAACTTGTTTTAAAAATGGAATACCGGGAAAGGACTGGTTGGCCTCATTTCAAAATCGACATAACTTTCGGTTAAAAAACCACAGGCTGTTGAATACGCTCAGAAAACAGCGGTTGATCCATTTGTGGTTTATGAGTACTTTGATTTACTCAAAACAACTATAATGGAATTAGGTTTAGCAGACAAGCCTAATGCAATCTGGAACTTAGAAGAGACCAGTTTTTCAAAAGACCCTTCGAAAACCAAAATTGTAGGTCTTAACCCTCTGTGACTGACGTGGTAGTCCAACAGACACCGGCAAAATATAAAATTCGGTTTATTACCATTAATTTTCAAATTTGAGCGTCGCCACTCTTAGTACCTTGCCATAGTAAGCTCGCGCGTTGGTCGGTGTGCGGCAGGGTGCGGTAGCAAGCTCATGTGTGCATATTGAGAGGAAGGTGTCCACGAGACTACCACATCAGTGTTAAGGTAAGTGTCTACCATACTACCACCTCAGTAAAATGTTTATTATTCCATAGTGTCTCCTAAACTACCACATCAGTTACTAAGTTTAGTTTATCTTACGATAAGTTATTTTTTGTATTATTTTGAGTTATTTCACAATTTTATTTTATTTACATAATTTCTTTCTGCACTAATATTATAATAAAGGAGATAAATTTGTATTTTTATTCGAAATGAATAAACTCAAAAAGTACGGGGACTATTTAAAGCATTATTTCACTACTATGATGCCATATTATCATTGAGTAACATAGGTTTTATCGCGAAATAGTATCTATCGTCCACGCGGCTGAAGTTGCGGAAGCTAATCATACGTAATTTATAGGACAAACTTATTTTTTAGATGGCTGACTCAAGTAAAAACCCTAGGCCAGATGCTTCTTCTACTCGTAATAGAACGTCGTCTGAAACTTTTGTTGTTTATGAAAATCAAATAATAGAGTGGCTGGAAGAGGAAAGTGACTACGAGTTTAGTGATGTTGACGATCTAGATGACCTTCAAGAAGACTTTATTTTATGTGATGAAGATCCAGAGTCAGACATAGAAGCGTGACAAGATCCTGCCATTGTAGTTGAACGCCAACGATCTTCAGACGTGTTAGAAGACCACTTCATAGGTAAAAACGGTTTCATTTGAAGTAAACAAGAGCGTCCTAGGATATTACGTATTGCAAGTCATAATATATTTCGATTACCAGGCCGTACTACAACAACTAATTTTAAAGGTTACTTGGAACTTTGGTCTTAGCTGATTGACCCCACAATGTTAAAATCTCTTGTGCGAAAATGAGGAGAGCAACTTTTTTATTTAATTTGGCAAGAGATATAGTGCTGAATCATATGAAAACCATGGTGTACAATGAAAGATTGCCAAGGGAGCTGCGCATGACAATCACTAGGGTTTTTGGTAAGGATATCCCCCCACCACCACCAGTAGTTTGGTCTGCTCCACCAAGTGGAAGAAAACTTTGTTCTATTTGTCCAACAAAAAAAAAAACTAAATATTGTTGCTGTGATTGTTCAAAGCCAATTTGCTTTCAGTGCTCCAAGCCACTGTTTGATAATTGTCAAATATAGCTGTGTTTTTGAAAATGTATAATTTTGAAGTCAACCAATGAATGTATCTGATTTTCTTTAGACTGATTAGTGTACTTTTTAATTTTTAAAATGTCTAATGTGAAATTTAATTTAATAAGGTGATTTTGTAATTTTTACTAAGTCATTAATATTTAAGTAGAGATTCATAGACTAATTTGTGTAAAGTCAATAAACACAGTTTATTTTTGAAAATACAAATTGATTTATTTATTTTAAGTTCACTTAATATAAATATTAGGCTAACAATCTTATAGATAAAATAAAATCCCTGTATAATTTAATTCTATAAAAATATTTGCTTTTGAAATGATGTCTCGTATACTACTACGTCAGTACAATGGTAAAAATTGAGCCACGTCAGTCGCAGAGGGTTAAAGGCCATGCAGCAACGAGAGTTATAGCAACACCTGGGAGAGATATTACGACGGTGTTACTAGGTGCAAGTGTGATTGGAGTAGAAACACCTCCCCTAATTGTCTTTAAAGGAAAATATGTTTGGGATGAGTGGACTTCGCCTGATGCATTTCCAAGTACGACATATGGCGCCACAAAAAATGGCTGGATGCAGACAGAAGTATTTGAAGCCTTCAAAAAATCTTTTTTGCCGACGATTGGCGATCAACGTCCAGTCTTACTTATTTATGACGGCCACTCAACCCATGTGGATTTGAGTTTAATTGAAGAAGCACGAAAAGAAAATATAACTATATTAAAACTACCTGCTCGGAACCTGGTGAAGAGTGCACGCCTTGCAATACATAACGCAGTGTTGGTACCGACTTTGTTATATGGCAGCGAAACCTGGGTATGCCAGAAGAAGCATAAAAGGAAGTTGAATGCAGTGGAGATGCGATCTCTTCGTAAAATGTGTGGCGTTACCATAGCCGACCGAAAGCAATATGGCAGGATTGAAAGATGACCTTATCACAAAAATTGATAGGGGCGTACTCCAATGGTTTGGGCACGTTGAACGAATGAGTGAAGACCGAATGGTGAAGAAAATATATAGAGCGAAAGTAAATATTAAAAGGTGTCGAGGTAGACCGAGACTAACTTTCGAAGACCATGTGAGCAAATTGCTCGAAGAGGGGAGGGTCAAGAGTACTCGGATACCTAGACGTGCATGTATGAAGAAGTTAATGAACCTGAAAGAAGCGAAAGAGGTATGTAAGGATCGTGACACTTGGCGATCTGTTCTCTCTGGCTACCCCGTTAGGGATTGTGCGTGAAGATAAATAAGTAAGTAAATAACCTGCTCATACAAGCCATATATTACAGTCGTTAGACATTTAAAGATAGATGGGACGTTGAACTTGTCAAATGGCAGCGACTTTATTATGGGGTAGCATTGTTAAAAAAAGAGTTTTCACGAATGATTGGATCAAAAAAGGTGGCATTTGGCCTTTAATGCTGCTGCAGTTGAAGAAACAAAATTCGATGCTCTGAAGTTGAGCCGCTGGAAGGAACACATAAGAACTAATAATCCTGCTTTGTCTGATAATGACCTTTCAGTCAATGATGTGATCCAGAGAACAGAACCGCACACATTGCTTTTCATAGCTTTAAATGTTTTCAACCAGAACTTTATAGCGACAGATAACCCAGGTTATATTAAGACTGGAAAATTAATGTTGATGAATTATGATATGAGATGATGATGACAGCAGCAATAATTTAGATTTAAGACAGCCTATTGAAGAGAAGAATGTCACATTTGAGGAACTACTTTTGCAAAAAGTAAAGCGTGGTGATAACTCTGAAAAAATAAAACGCAGCAGGGTGGCACCAGGTGCTGAAGTCATAACTCATAACGACGTCATACAGTTGAAAAAAGAAAAACTACTTAAAATATTAAGAAAGAAAATTTTGGTAAACGAAAGAGCCGATCCAGTCCTGCACCTACTGATGATGTCATTATGCTAAGTAAAACGCTAAAAAGTAACACTGAGTTCCAACCATTTATCGTGGATAAAGTTGAAGACCTTCCTCATTGTTTAAAAAATCAAATAGTCGACTCTCCTAAGATAAAAATTTTGTCAAACATTGTACTTTAATAGTCCAACAGTGCCTGATGAGGAACGCTTATTACCAGAACCTGGGGGCCTAGATAAGTGGCAATCGCTTCGTGTCTATTCCATTTCGAAAATCGATTTCGTCTTAGCGAAATCGGACTGCTAATTTCTAAACAATGTCCAATCGCGTAACGAATTGATAAAGAAAACTAATACCACGAACGATATTATCTCAATGTGTAGACAAGTGGCACTTTTGACATTCGAAATCGCTGAGAAGTCGAACTGTTCATTCGACAACTTAGCGAACGCTTGAACCCTTTAGAAAAGCAATACAAAATGGCTGATTGTTAGTTTGTTAGTCAGCTGTTGGTATTGTTTACATCAATTCGTTATTGTTTCTCGTTTTTTGTAGTTTTTTTTGATAAATAATTAAATAATAATATATAATTGATACATACATTTATAATGAAATAAAATAGTAAAAATAAAATAGCCTTTTTATTCCAAAATCAAAACTAGAACTAAATTTTCTTTTTTAACGATTTTTTTACCTTATTCGTTTAGTAATAACATTATCAATTAGAAACTACTATAACACATTATCACATTTTAAATGAAGTAATTAATGAATACATTTTTGATATTTTACAAATTAATTAGAAAAATTACCTTTATTTATTTCATTTATTATTAATAAATATTTAAATTAATTAAAAACAAGACTTAGCATAAGGAAACTATTAACATAACAATATATTTACTATATAAAGTCCTTGATTCCGGAATGTCTATTGACAAAGGCTCCTCCTGACTTAATCCATCCGGTGATTTCGAAATCCATTTGGTTATGTCGTTCTTTCTGTAGAGGCTCTTAGTACAGTTAAATTAGCTCCTAGCATGAAATCATTCATTTTTTGCCAATTCTCGCTTCTCTTACCGTTACCGAAATTACCAACAACATTATCTTTGCCACTACTTATTCCAACCATAAGCATTAAAGTCACCTATAACTATGATATGGTTATTTTTTACTTTACTTATTGTTTCGCCGAGGGTATGTTAGAAGTGCTCTAAATCACGAGGGTTAGCTTGCTTTATTGGGACATATATTTGTATGATTGTCCAATCCTTGCTATAACCAGGTGTATTAACATAGGCTGTACGGTCTAATATACCTCTGAACTCCTTTATTTGGTTCTTCAGTGAGGCTTTAATTAGGAGGTTTTAACATAAACTTAACTATATACTAAATAAATGACAATATTAAACTTTTAATAAACATACTATCAGTACTAAATTTAAAAATCTTTAAAGCAGTTGAAAATAAAATATTTCTAACATATCTTAAACTAGTTTTACGGACGAATTTCAATAGTAGTCGATATCAGCGTGAGGTGTTTGGGAGTTTATGGATTTTTTTGTAAATTTTGTAGCGCTTGGAATCTGAATTTAAAAAAGTAATTGCACTCAATTTAAAAAATGTTAAAGCAGTTAAATATAAAGTATTTCTACATAATATTAAGTAGTTTAGACAATTTCAATATTAGTCGATATCTAAGCGTGAGGTCGCAGATTCGAACTCCGGGTCAGGCAGTATTATTGAATTTTTCCATTATAAATTTCTCAGTAGCTGCTTGGAGTCTGAATTAAAAAAGTCCAATTAGTACTAAATTTATTTATTTTTAAAGCAATTGAAAATAAAGTATTTCTAACATTATGTTAAAGTAGTTTTTATACACGAATTTCAATAGTAGCCGATATCTAAGCGTGAGGTCGCGGATTCGATCCCCAGGTCAGGCAGTATTATTGGATTTTTCCATTATAAATTTCTCAGTAGCTGCTTGGAGTCTGAATTAAAAAAAGTCCAATTAGTACTAAATTTAATTTTTTTAAACCAGTTGAAAATAAAGTATTTGTAACATTATGTTAAAGTAGTTTTTACAGACGAATTTCAATAGTAGCCGATATCTAAGCGTGAGGTCGCTAGTTTGATTCCCGGGTCGGGCAGTGTTATTGGGTTTTTTCATTAGAAATTTCTCAGTAGCGGCTTGGAGTCTGAATTTGTGTCCGGTTAACGGCAATAGGCTCACCACCTGTTACATGATACCTGTAACATAATTGGCGAAATGTGGGTGTACAGTACAACTCTGCCTAATCTTCCGTGGAATACAGACGTCAAGAATTACGTACCTATGGAGTATGATCTAATTGCTCCGTATTATCTTTACTCCGATAGTGGTCAAACCATGCTTGTGTTATGTCAGCAAACATGCGTAACACTTGGTTACGCTCAGTCCTTCGAGTCTCCAGATCATACAGCTGCCTGTCTCGTTTTTCCTCTGCCGAAGACGTAGATGTTCGATGGCAATGAACTCGCTCGTCGCTCTTTCAAATGGCGGGATTGCACGCCTCCGGCGCGCCCTTAATGTTCTTCGTGCAGGGGAAGCGGTTACCCCAGATCTCGGGGTTGATGGCAACCGGCGCCTGCTGGTTGGCGGAAGGATAGAAGATGCAGGTTGCACCCTTGAACTCCTCGCAGATTGATTGCATAAAGTTGATGTCCGTGTGGGGGTGTTTATATGCTGTGGCTGCCAACTAGCAGATGGCGTAGGAGTAGCAGGCGCGGGCGATAAAGCCACAGATTCTGGAAAAAAGTGAACTTGAATTCAAATACTTGGTTAATTAAGTATATATAATTTTGCATCTTGTTGATGTGTGGTCAGTGGTGGATTCAGGGCCTGCGTTTGCGATAGGATGAGTTGTGATAGTCCCTGCAAAAAATACTTGAAATCTTCATTTAAGTTGTACCTAACCATAATATATCATATAAAAAAACCTTTAGTGATATTACTCATTTAATTATATGAGTAGGTACATATTTTAAATATGTGTGATCAGTTAACACCGAATTTTAAATGAAGTAGTGCAATACTTACGAAGCCTTGTTCCTGAATGCTGGACTGACCCTCCACAATCAATTTTCCCATTAGCGTCAACACCCTCTCCTCAAAAGTCATGAGGGTTTGTCGACTACTCGGCCTACCACCAGTACCACTTGCACGACACCTTATTAGGGATGCTTTTTTTTGTTTTGACTTTCAGTCCGCCCAAACATTCGAAATTAATTAAGCAATATGTAGGAAAGTTCGGTAATGAGTAATAGTGTATAATAAATAGTAGATGGTTAATAGAGATATAATTAAGAAAAAGTGATTATTACCATATATGACTGTTCAATTATTACCTTTTTCCATTTGTCTGCCGATTTATTTACTCCACCACCGATTGAGTTTAATATGGTTGTCAATTCACACCACAGCCGCTCCGATTTCAAGCGCCCTTGAGGACCACTTCGGGAATTTGATAGATCGCCGTGACTGCAATTTCACAAAGATTAGGGCAATAAGCAAGTTAGGATCAGGTCATGTTCATCAAGTTCATGGTTTAGGTGAATAATTCCTTACCTTTCCATGAACTCCAAAAGGGTCGAAAATTGTTCATCACTAGCTCGCATTCTTGGTTCCATTATAATTATCCTTAAAAATGAAAACAAAAAACAGTCAGTTCCCGCTTGTTTATCGTTATAAATATGTAATATACTCACAACCAAAAATAATTTTGGCATAATGATTTCTTAAATTTACGCGAACACTACACATTGAATAAAACTATTATTTACGGATTTTATCGCGTTTAATTACTTTAATTTTATTATTATCCCCACGTTTCGGGTGCTTTACAGCACCCATTGTCACGGGGGGACTGAGATGTTTGACGTCCACATGTCACAGTTAGTCCGGCTACCTTCAGTTTTTTTAATATTAATTTTTGGTCCGATTTACGCAAAACGAGCTTATAGTATCATGAAGTCTTGCAGTGGTATGCTTGGGATTGGGTTTAATTTTGTTAATTATAGGATCCCAAGCAGATGGTAGCACCCAACCATCTTCTCTATTGAAATTTAAATGTTTTTTAATTTCAATAGCCTCGCGTATCATCCTTGGTAGGAATCGGTGTTCTTTTGCGAGAATTTGTGGTTTATCAAATCTAATGTAAAGGTCGGGACGATTTTGAACATGTTCGCAGACTGCAGACTTCCCGGAGCGTCGGTGCTTCACATCAGCTATATGTTCCTTCACGCGGGTTTTTATAGATTTCTTTGTTTGACTTATGTAAGAGAGACCACATTCACAATCTAGCTTGTACACACCTGCATCTTGTAGAGGAATATTACATTTGATGGATGGTAAAAATTGACTAATCTTCTTCAGCGGCTTGTAGTATGTCTCAATGGACGCTCGCTTCAAGATGTAGCCAATCTTGTCCGTGACTCCTTCGACATATGGTAGTAGAGAGGCGCGCGCTCGACTGTGGCCGGCTTCACTCGTTCACTGTGACGTAGGCGCGGGACCCGAAGCTTGTCGTCTTGCAATACTTGCTTGACGTGCTGAAGCTCCGCGGCCAGATGTTTTCTGTCACAGATCCCTCGTGCTCTCTGAAACAAAGATTTACCCACGGTAGCTAACTGTGAAGAATGATGGTGAGATTCACCATTTAGATATCGGTTGGTATGGGTCTTTTTCCTATACACAGTGTGACTAATAGTGTTATCAGGATTTCGGATGACTAAAACATCTAGGAAGGCTAAAGAATTATTTGTCTCTAACTCCATTTTGAATTGTATTTTAGAGTTTATGGAGTTAAGTTGGTCTAAAATTTCAGTTACTTTGTCAGATGGTAAAATTGTGAAAGTGTCGTCTACGTACCGCTTGGTAGAACCTTGAATTTACAGGAGCAGTAAGAAGAGCTTTCTCCTCAAAGTCCTCCGTGAATATGTCGGCGACTATGGGAGACACAGGTGAGCCCATCGCCACACCATCTACTTGCTTGTAGAACTCTTCCTTCCACAATAGATAGCCAGATGTGAGGCAATGTTCAAGTAGTATTGCATATTCTTGAGGCATGTTATTTTCTTCTAGCTTCCTAGTTACAATTGAGATGCAGTCCACAATAGGTAGGCATGTAAATAGTGACTGAACATCAAAACTGACCATAGTTTCATTGTTAGCGAGATGTAGGTCTTTTATCTCACTCACAAAATGGTACGAATCCTTTGTGTGTGCTCTGGTATGTCCTCTCAGTGGTGATAGTATTTTTGCTAAGGTTTGGTTTCGTAGTTCAGTGCCGAAACCAAACCTTCCCAAAGACGAATTTACAGCGCTAAATAACTTACGGAACCAGACCAGAAATCACGATTCTCCGCGCGGATAAAGGAAATGCTACGGTAGTAATGGACACTTCGGAATATAATTTTAAAATACAACAACTTTTATCGGACGAAAGTACATATAAAAAGGTCAAAACTGACCCTACAACTAACACGCTTAAAACAACTAGCGATTTAATAAAGAAATACTCCGAAAGATTAAATCTCGACATTAATTCGCTAATACCATCATGTGCCAAACCACCGAGGTTGTATTGGTTACCGAAGATACACAAACCAAACGCTCCACTACGTCCCATAGTGAGCCAGATCGATTCACCAATTTATAAGCTGGCACAATACTTAGCAAAAATACTATCACCACTGAGAGGACATACCAAAGCACATACAAAGGATTCGTACCACTTTGTGAGTGAGATAAAAGACCAACATCTCGCTAACAATGAAACTATGGTCAGTTTTGATGTTCAGTCACTATTTACATGCCTACCTATTGTGGACTTCATCTCAATTGTAACTAGGAAGCTAGAAGAAAATAACATGCCTCAAGAATATGCAATACTACTTGAACATTGCCTCACATCTGGCTATCTATTGTGGAAGGAAGAGTTCTACAAGCAGGTAGATGGTGTGGCGATGGGCTCACCTGTGTCTCCCATAGTCGCCGACATATTCATGGAGGACTTTGAGGAGAAAGCTCTTCTTACTGCTCCTGTAAATTCAAGGTTCTACAAGCGGTACATAGACGACACTTTCACAATTTTACCATCTGACAAAGTAACTGAAATTTTAGACCAACTTAACTCCATAAACTCTAAAATACAATTCAAAATGGAGTTAGAAACAAATAATTCTTTAGCCTTCCTAGATGTTTTAGTCATCCGAAATCCTGATAACACTATTAGTCACACTGTGTATAGGAAAAAGACCCATACCAACCGATATCTAAATGGTGAATCTCACCATCATCCTTCACAGTTAGCTACCGTGGGTAAATCTTTGTTTTAGAGAGCACGAGGGATCTGTGACAGAAAACATCTGGCCGCGGAGCTTCAGCACGTCAAGCAAGTATTGCAAGACAACAAGCTTCGGGTCCCGCGCCTACGTCACAGTGAACGAGTGAAGCCGGCCGCAGTCGAGCGCGCGCCTGCTCTACTACCATATGTCAGAGGAGTCACGGACAAGATTGGCTACATCTTGAAGCGAGCGTCCATTGAGACATACTACAAGCCGCTGAAGAAGATTAGTCAATTTTTACTATCCATCAAATGTAATATTCCTCTACAAGATGCAGGTGTGTACAAGCTAAATTGTGAATGTGGTCTCTCTTACATAAGTCAAACAAAGAGATCTATAAAAACCCGCGTGAAGGAACATATAGCTGATGTGAAGCACCGACGCTCCAGGAAGTCTGCAGTCTGCGAACATGTTCAAGATCGTCCCCACCTTTACATTAGATTTGATAACTCATTCGTTGCCAAGGACTCGCCTCGCGAGTTTATTAGAATTGCATACTGGTGGCCTAGAACTCGATAAGCGAGTCCTAACTATTTATCGTATTTTCTTCAAAAATACAAAGAAAAAAAATGTAAATTCTAAATTATCAGCCACTTTGAATATTGTTTTACGCCATAAAACCGTGGCCCGCGTGTCAGTTAAGTATTTAATTTTTTTATAAAAAAAATGAGAATGAGGGGCGGGGCGGGGCGGGGGACACCTTGATGGCTCGCCGCGCTTCATGCCCGGGCGCCCCTCATTCGTCGTTATGTTCGCGTCGGTACATATTGTAAGTCTCGCTGGTGATATTGTTGTATAACTATCCTGTGGATTTGTTTGCTTATTGCTTTGGAGGTGATATCCTCTGGACTAGTGACCTTCTGCTACGTTTGTTGAACGACGCCATATTTAAAAGCAATGTAAGTATTGAAACATTTTTAAACAAATTGTTTACTTTAGGTACCTCTTGTGTTCTTTGATATATATGTAGACAATGACGCAAGACTTACCAAATGATCACGAAGAGTTTATTCCATTATGTTTAGTATTTAGCAGTAATATTTGACGTCATGAACGTCTAGATTGCGGGACCACTCCGTAAAATATTTTGAGTGTACAATTTTACTCTGAAAGTATGAAATAGTACTATGCACTACGTACTAGAAAATAAATATAAGAATTTAATATAAAATATCTTAATTTAATCTAAACAAACATATTTCTAAATACAATGTAATAATTATTATGTTATGGAATTCACAAATCTTCAATTTACGCAATATTTACTTTGTACGGATTGCACTACAGTTCAGTTGAACATAGTCAATGTTCGGAATGGCTTCTCTAGTATAGTACGTAGTACATATAACTTTAAATCCTAATTCGAAAAACTTGACGGGTTCCCGTCATCTTGACGTTTATTTGACGTCAGGATGGTGAATGCACATTATTTTCGGCATAAAATTATAGTCAAAACTTACACAGATTTTTAAGTTACGTACACAACTGGTACCTTTTCTGCCGACTTTCAAAAAAGGAGACGGTACTCAATTCGAATGTTTTTTTTTATGTGTGTTACCTCATAACTTTGTACTGGGTGAACCGATTTCGATGATTCTTTTTTTATATGAAAGCTGATAGTTCTCGTGTGGTCCCATATGAATTTGATCAAGGTCAGACCAATAGTTTTTGAGTTATTCTTAAATAACTTATATTGAAGTCGGCTGTACAAAATGTTTAATATTCTGCCGACTTCCAAAAAGGAGACGGTACTCAATTCGACGCGTATGTTTTTTTTTTATGTGTGTTACTTCAACTTTTTACTGGGTGGACCGATTTCTGATACTTCTCGTGTGGTCCCATATGAATTTGATCAAGGTCAGACCAGTAGATTTTGAGTTATTTGAGTTATTCTTAATAACTTATATTGAAGTCGGCTGTACAAAATTTTTAATTATAAATTATATCAAATTATTTTTCATTCGAATTGGTGCTTCACACCCACCATTCTAACGCACATGTTTTATTACAATTAAAAGCTATTATCCGCATAAATAACTTGGACTGAAACATATAAACTTTGTTGATTTAGGCGCGCTTATAAATTTTATAATTGCAATTTCAAATAGTGAAGTGCCTATGTTTCTTTTTTTAGGAACAATGGATCCATTTCAAAATCCCATCCCCTCTACTTCTGGTTCTGTAGCCGAATTGGAAAAGATATTACAGACTTGGGAAAATCCTTCGGAAGGTATTGGTGCAGAAGTAACCATCGAAGATGATATTCTAAGTGATAGAGACCTTCTCGGAATATTGCAAGATGATATCATAGACGAATATATAATGTCACCAACTCACATAATCGATCCTACTGAAATTTTTTTCGAAGAAGATCCACTGTCCATTGCTGTTGAGCAAACAGGATGGACCATCGGCAACCCATCACGAGAAAGCCAAAATCTTTTTGAGTTTCGTGGGGAACCTGGACTCAAAGTCAATCTTGGAGATCATCCTGTTGATTACTTCCGAGCTATAATGACAAACACTTGCTTTCAAACATTGATAAGATGCACGAATGATTACGGAAATAGATTAAAAAGCCATGCCACAGTAAGTGCACGAGCAGTTACTTGGAAAAACGTAAGTAACTTTTTCTAGGCCTGCTTTTCCACATAGGTTTTGTGAAGTTGAATCGCATCGTTGATTATTGGAAAAAGGATATACTTTTCCATCAACCCATATTTTCCAAAAAAATGGCACGCAATAGATTTCAATTGATTTTGAGGTCGCTGAATCTGCAGACTGTACAAAGTACAACAAGTTATGAAAAAGTAAGATGGATTTTAGATTTTTTCAATAATAAGATGCATGAAATATATTATCCAAAGAAAAACCTAGTCATTGATGAATCAATGATGCTTTGGAAGGGTCGTTTAAAATTCCGACAATATGTAAAAGGTAAACGACACAAACACGGGTTGAAAATTTACATGTTGGCGGATCAGTTAGGGATAGCCTGCCGGATACACCTATACGGAGGATCAGCAGACAATCTAGTTGGTGGTACAAATCACGTAAAAAAAGTTGTGCTACACCTCCTTGGTAATTACAAAAATATGGGACACAGCCTGTTTATAGACAACTTTTATACAAGTGTCGCTTTGTCTGGACAATTACAAGCCATTGAAGTTTATTCAACTGGAACTCTAAACACTCGCCGTAAAGATATACCAGAAGAAATAAAAACTACAAAACTCAAAACAGGCGAGGCGGCGATTATGCACAAAAACGGTTTATGTATTATTGTGTGGAAAGATAAAAGGGAAATAATGGCTCTTTCTAACAAATATAATGCTGAATATATTGAAACAAGGAATAGAAGGGGCCAAGTTAAATGTAAACCAAATATGATAGCCCAATACACAAAGCATATGAAGTCTGTAGATCATCATGATCAGATGATGGCTTATTATAGTTGTGAACACAAAAGTCTTATATGGTACAAAAAAGTAATAATACATTTGTTAGAAATTATGATAATAAATGCATATTTATTATACAGAGCAGATATCAGACACAACATAACCCTATATGATTTCAAATTAAGCGTTATTAAAAGTCTTTTATCATATGATTTTGAATTAAGCCTACCGCTAACGTCTCGAGTGCATTTGCCATCGAATTTGCCAAAAGATGACAGAGGCCACACTAAAAGACGAAGATGTGCCCAGTGCTGGAAGGTAGCAAAAAAGAGAGTACAGAGTATATTTTTTTGTAACGACTGTCTCGAGAAGCCTGGACTTTGCATAGGTTGTTTCAGAGAATACCATAGATATTAGAATTACTTATTAGTTTTTTTTAGTGATTTTTAAGGCGGTGACACCTAACTAGGAAAAATTTTTCATTTTGATTTTCATAAATAAAAATATGAAGTCTAGACTCATGTATCATTTATTAATTTGAAACCCAATTACAGGTACAGATGCCGTCACCTAAAAGAAAAACGCTGTGCAATGTATCTGCGCATACAAATCGCGCTCTGCGCAGGTGCGTCGCCAGCGGTCTTTTCACGTGACGCATAGTATAATACCTACGAGACGATCATTTGTGTACTTTTTTAAACAATCACTATTATGTTGAAACATTTTGTTTACCAAAGAATTATATCAATTAGGTAGTAATGTAAATGAATATATTAGGTAGTTTTTTCTTTCAATATTTCAAATATTTCTTTCATCTTGTTATAACGTGTGTTTCCGTGGAACTTTGACATCTCTAATGCCACTATTTTCCCAAAATATTCGTTGCATTGAGATTGCTTTTTCTGGATTCATGCTGCAATGCTGGAATTCCGTCATAGTACCCATTTCTTTTGTAACTTTTTTTTTGTGACAGCTTTATGTATATATTTTTTAATTTCTTCGGAGTAATATGAACCATCGTCAGGCTGAGAATCGGGTAGATCCTCTGGTGTATCACAAAAGGTCTCCTGGTTTTTTTCTATGGAGTAGTATGATCCATCGACAGGCTGAGAATCGGGTAGATTATCTTGCGTATCACTGAAGGTTTCCTGGCTATCGGTTGACACCCTAGTTTTCTTTGGCAAAGATTCATATTCCGTAAACATATTCTCCGATTCAGAATAAACATTTCGATTTTCTGTAATGAAGGTATTATTGTTGACTTTGTGCACATCTCTAAAATGAATTCGTAAGAAAGTGAAGATACAGCAAAATAATAAAAATATTGGAATAAACTCTTCGTGATCATTTGGTACCTCTAGTGTACTTGTAAAAACAAGTATCATATATAAAAATAATTCTTTAAAAATAAAAACTCAAGAAAAAAACAAAAACAAGAACAGACTTGTTCCTACAAGTACGCAATGACGTATAGGTAGGTACCAAATGATCACGAAGGATTTATTCCAATACATTCATTATTTTGCAGTAAAATAAGGTGCTCCCGCCATTCTGGCGCACATAAAATTTGTGTAAAAAATCTACTTCAAGCCAAAAGTATATTTTTTTACTTACCCATGTTAAAACAAAACCGGAGAGTTTATTTAAATTGTTTTGGTTAGCAACGAAGAAGTTTAATTTCCAGAATTAGTTTGAAATCTTTTTACTCAGTAAATTTTGTTTCTAACACCTTAAAATGGACAAATATGCATTTAGATGCAAACTCCTCATTTATACGGCCAGGGACTCGCCACGCGAGATGTATCCTCCTCATTGGTACGGCCGACGACTCGCCATGCGAGTCTCGGCAAATTATAGCGGTGGCCATACGTATGACATTAGAAAATTATAGTACGGCAACGAATGGGGTATGAGTTATCTAATTTCGTTATCGTTATTGAAAATGTAACTTTGTCTAGGGCCTCTGGACCTTCGGGCATTCATAAAGTGAATACGCCTAGAAAAAGAAGAGTTATTAACAGATTTGCTGCATCATTTGAAATTAATAATAAAAAGAAAACAACTACTATAGAACACCGAAAGGCAAAGGAATCGGAAAAAAGAGCAAAAAGAGTATTGGTAAAGAAAATAAAAGACCATCCCCTCACGATGATAAATAAGATACCTATGATGATTTTAAATTTCTCGGATATCGAAAACAGAAGAAACATGAAATGTCTTCCACAAGTTGAACTACTAGTGTATCTGGAACAATTAGTTCTCATAGTGATTCCGACATAACAAGTGCTGTATCTGATTATGAAAGTAACGATGAATACCATAGCTTTTTAGGAGACAAAAGGTTATCAGACTATATTAATCTAGGACAGACAGAGGAGACAATTTTAATTCAAGACGAAGAGGCCAAAAATATAAATAAATCATATATTATAAGTAACAACGGAGCACGAATACGAACAGACTGAGGAGACCTTACTCCAAAACGAAGAGACTGAAAACATAAGTAAAATAGAATATATAAGTAATGAGAATAGTTATATGTAGCAGGAATATGAAAGCTATTCTGTGAATGACCATGTTCTAGTAAAATATTATGTTAAAAAAGTGGACATATTATGTTGGCGTCATAGATGCGGTCTACGCCAACGAACAGACGAATGAACCGTAATTTTCAATAAAATTTTAAAAAACAGTAAAGACACCGAAACTTACACTTAAGATGACAAGAATAATAGATCGAGATGAGGTTCCACAGAATTCTATAGTAAAAAGAATTAACCTGTTAAAAGATCCGGAAAAAGAAATGATTTCTTTTTAAATGATGAAGATGATACAGTGTCCTTTTCTAGATTAAAAAAATTGATTGTAATTATTTTGTTTTTGTTCACGCGATCAATGATTGATCATATTTTTAGGTAGTTATGCATCCCGGTATTCACGGAACTGCACCGGAGACAATAACAATTCAAGCGTAAGCGTGGGCGTAGATTGCTGAATTGCGCCTGGAAGACGGGTGGTCTTTCGTGTGAATACTGATAACTCTTCTTTAGCTTAAAGATCTAGAATAAGAATTAGGATAGTCTTAGTTTGGCTCCCACATGTATCTGACATGTAACCTTAAGTTAGAATCCATCGCGGATTAATTAAGTAGTATATAAGTAATGTATCGCACATTAATAGTTATAAGTTTATTAATAAAGTCTTTTTAAAAACGACCTGAGTCAATTTCGAATCTTGACTGGCGCAGCCGGTAGGATTTCGCGTGTAAAGCTCGCTCATATAAGAAGACTCCCAAATCAGTCGTCGTGAAGTAGTTTACAGTGCCGTCTTGCACTTGCGCGAAATCTACGAACCGAAATAAATTTGTCGAATTCGAAGCAGGATATCAAGAAAGAAGACTTCCTAGCCCAGGTGAAAGGATGAGTTCGAGTGTACTGTGAGTAAACCTTTTCACGTACATCTCTGTTCCCATCTATTTTTGCTTGCTAGAATTATAGTGTTATTTGATTTTTCTTAAATCGAACAAAATAAATTGCACAAGCATAGGCAATTTATTCTATATCATTAAGTTTAATAATTAAATATTGAAAATTAATTTTAAATAAAAAATTATTAATAAATAAAAATTCATAATTAAATGAATAAAAGAATATATTAAAGAAATTAAAGTGGTAATTATATAAATTGTTATATTAATATTTAAAAAAAATGGAACAATGACGTGTTATACCTAAGGATTTACTTTGTCTTATACCTAAGTTTGAAGGAGAGGAAGGATTATTAAATTTATTTATTAAGAAAGCTCAATACATATATAGGTCTTTCGCAGACCCTAATAATGCCACACAGACGTTATATATATTCCATGCGATAAGCAGCCGATTAACAGGTAGGGCAACACATCTATTAAGTGAGCGTGATGATATTAATTGTTGGAATACGCTTAAAGATATTTTAATTCAACATTTTGGCGATCCGCGTTCGGAAGATTGCATAGCTATCGAGTTAGAACAAATGAAAATTAAGTATGGCGAATCATTTATCGATTTTTGTCATAGGATACAGCATATGCGTAGTACCTTATTCGCAAAAGTCAATCTAATACAGGATGAAGGAATAAAAGCAGCTAAAATGATGTGTATAATAATATGTCATTAAATGTATTCCTTTATAATTTACCGGAGGATTAATATCGTAGAGCACTAGTTTAGAATCCGCTTTAAGTGTCGTAACCGAGGAAGTGAACTTCATGAACCAATATAATGCTAAAAATAAAACGAAACAGAATACATCCCAAAATTTCAAACCCCAACAAAGTGTTAATATTTTACCTAATAATAACAATCATATTTTTAATTTGCAAATCCCCAATTTGGATCACAGAATAAATTTCAACTGCCTAAGGCTGCGTCCTCAGTAGGCAAACTGTTAGCCGCCGACTGAGTTAGCGGCGTATCGGTTTAGTACGGCCCTTCCATATATTTCAAATGGAGTGTTCACAGTTTGCTAGTTTTGCGCTCATTGTACGCAGTTTGCAGCGTTACGCGCGCCGACTATCTTAATGAGCTGCCGACTCTCACCAAAACCGGTTCCAGTCGGCGGCGGCGATTGGTTGTTCGTCGGGCGTAGTGACTCAGTTTGCCGCAAACTAATTATTCGGATAGTTGGAAAAAAGTATAACGTATAAAAAGTATAAAAAAAAGTAAAAGTACTAACTAATCTCAACGCACACACACATCACTGAAAATCCAAGATGTCCTTTGATACGGAAAGGTTCATTAGTGAAATACAGAATAGACCATGCATATGGTACATGTCGAGTGAAGAATACAGCAACAGAGTATTAAAGCAGAGCAATTGGAATGAAGTCGCTGATATTATATACGATGATTGGCAAAACTTAGAAGAAAACACTAAACAAAAAAGAAGTAAGTTCCATTCTAATGAATTTATTATTTATTCAATTTTGTAAAATACAATTCAATTATGTAAAATACAAACAGCTTTTACGATAGCGATGGTTGTATTCACATTAGTAGCGATCGGTGTATGCAGAACTCTCCATTTGCTTGTTAGGATGCCGAATGCACATTCCACGCATCTCCTAGCTCGACTATGACGATAATTGTAAATTCGCTCTTCCTTATTTAAACTTTTATTAGGAAAAGGCCTCAAGATATGCTTTTGTAACCCAAATGCCTCATCTCCAAGAAACACGAAAGGTTGGGGCAATCCATTAGAATTAGGCAATTTAGTTGAGTTAGGAATCTTCAGAGACCCACACGCCAATTTTATGCCAAAACCACTTTCTTTAAATATATTACTGTCAGCATTTCGTCCGCAAGTACCTACATCAATAGCTATAAAAGAACAGTTTGCATCTGCTACGGCTAACAGAACAATTAAAAAATAAAAATGGTTTTCTAATACGGATATGCTTGCCATCGATAGATCCTATACAATTAGGATAGTTGGTTTTTTTATAATATCGTTTTGCTATTTCTAGCCACAATTCTTCAGAAGGTTCCGGCATTTCCTGTGGCTGTAAAATATCCGATATAATGCATGCAGTTTCACTTATTATTTTCGATACCGTCGATTTTCCAACAAGAAACTCTTGTGCAATTTTTCTGTAACTTAGTCCACTTGACAGGAATCTGGAAAGAATATTGAACTACCGATTATTTCTGTTTCAGTAAAAGACCTACAAAAAAAAATGGAAGGGTTTGCGCGACTATCACACCAGAGAAAAAATAAGGATTCCTCAGTCAAAAGCGGAAGTGGGGCAACAAAAAAACGCAAGACACCATACTTGGACATGTTACACTTTTTAAATGTTTCTAGAGCTAGCAACCAGACATCTGGCAATATTAGCGCCGAGACGTCTAGCGACAGTAGCGCTCTTTTAGATGAAAATGATTCTACTGACTCGGTAGTTAATGATTTCTTATATTTACGCGAACACTACACATTGAAATAATACTAGTTTTTACGGAATTTATCGCGTATATTTAACTTTTTAAATACCCGACGTTTCGAACGCTTTACAGCACTCATGGTCACGGGCAGGACTGAGATGTTCAACGTCCATATGTCATAGTTAACCGCGGTTACCATAGATTTAAATTTAACTTTTGTTCCGATCTATGCAATATGAACTTATGGTATCTTGAAGTCTTGCAGTTGTATGCTTGGGTTGGGATTTAATTTTATTTATTATAGGATCCCAAGCAGATGGTAGCACCCAGCCATCTTCTCTATTGAAATTAGGATGTTTTTTTGATTTCAATAGCCTCGCGAATCATCCTTGGAAGGAATCGGTGTTCTTTAGCGAGGATCTGCGGTCTATCAAAGCTGATGTAGTGACGGGGGCGATCCTGTACGTGTTCACAGACTGCAGACTTCCCGGAGTGTCGATTCTTCACATCAGCTATATGTTCTTTAACGCGGGTTTTTATTGATCTTTTAGTTTGTCCTATGTAGTAGAGACCATTCACAATCAAGCTTGTACACTCCTGCACCCATTACACCCCGCAAATTACCGTACGAAGAAATTATCTGTAGTGTCGAGGACTGTTTATTTAAAAACAATATGCGGAAAAGAAGATTTGGAGGCGATACGTCAAGACATCTCGTCTATGTTACGTCGATGTTTAGTGCCTAAACCGAATCTTCCCAAAGACGAATTTATAGCGTTAAAGAACCTACGCAATAAACACGAACTTACGATTCTCCGCGCAGATAAAGGAAAACGCCACGGTAGTCATGGATACGTCAGATTATAATTCTAAAATACAAGAACTTTTGTCGGATGTAAGTACTTATAAAAAGGTTAAAAACGACCCAACAAATAGCACACTAAAAACAACTAGTGACCTCATAAAGAAACACTCCGAAAAATTAAATCTGGACGTAAAATGGATAATACGTACGTGCGCCAAATCACCAAAATTGTATGGGTTACCAAAAATACACAAGCTCAATACTCCATTACGTCCCATAGTGAGCCAAATCGATTCACCAACTTACAGATTGGCTCAACACTTAGCGAAAATACTCTCACCACTCAGGGGACATACAAGAGCACACATAAAGGATTCCTACCATTTTGTCAGCGAGATTAAAGACCTACATCTGGCAGACAATGAAACTATGGTCAGTTTTGATGTGCAGTCATTGTTTACATGCTTACCTGTTGAAGACTGCATCTCAATTGTAACTAGAAGGCTGGAAGAAAACAACATGCCCGTAGAATATGCAGTATTACTCAGACACTGCCTTACATCTGGCTACCTATTGTGGAAGGAGGAGTTCTACAAGCAAGTAGATGGTGTGGCGATGGGCTCACCTGTATCCCCCATTGTCGCCGACATATTCATGGAAGACTTTGAGGAGAAAGCCCTGCTTAGTTCTTCCATAAATCCAAGGTTCCACAAGCGGTACGTAGACGACACTTTCACAATTCTACCTTCAGATAAAGTAACTGCATTTTTAGACCATCTTAACTCTATAAATTCTAAAATTCAGTTCACAATGGAGTTAGAGGCAAACAATTCTTAGCTTTTCTAGATGTGTTAGTAATTGGGAATCCTGATAACACCTTGAGCCATACTGTGTATAGAAAAAAAGACCATACAGATAGATATTTAAACGGTGATTCTCACCACCATCCTTCACAGTTAGCTACCGTGGGTAAATCTTTGTTTCAGAGAGCACGAGGGATCTGTGACAGTAAACACCTGGCTGCAGAGCTCCACCATGTCAAGCAAGTTTTGCATGACAACAAGCTTCGAGTCCCGCGCCTACGTCACAGTGAACGAGTGAAGCCGGCCACAGTCGAGCGTTTACCTGCTGTACTGCCATATGTTAGAGGAGTCACTAACAAGATTGGCTACATCTTGAAGCGCGCTTCCATCAAAACATACTTCAAGCCGCTGAAGAAGATTGGTCAGTTTTTACCATCGGTCAAGTGTAATGTCCCTCTGCAAGATGCAAGAGTGTACAAGCTTGATTGTGAATGTGGTCTCTCCTACATAGGACAAACTAAAAGATCAATAAAAACCCGCGTTAAAGAACATATAGCTGATGTGAAGAATCGACGCTCCGGGAAGTCTGCAGTCTGTGAACACGTACAGGATCGCCCCCCGTCACTACATCAGCTTTGATAGACCGCAGATCCTCGCTAAAGAACACCGATTCCTTCCAAGGATGATTCGCGAGGCTATTGAAATCAAAAAACATCCTAATTTCAATAGAGAAGATGGCTGGGTGCTACCATCTGCTTGGGATCCTATAATAAATAAAATTAAATCCCAACCCAAGCATACAACTGCAAGACTTCAAGATACCATAAGTTCATACTGCATAGATCGGAACAAAAGTTAAATTTTAATCTATGGTAACCGCGGTTAACTATGACATATGGACGTTGAACATCTCAGTCCTGCCCGTGACCATGAGTGCTGTAAAGCGTTCGAAACGTCGGGTATTTAAAAAGTTAAAAATACGCGATAAATTCCGTAAAAACTAGTATTATTTCAATCGGTAGTTAATGTCAGTAGACCAAAAAAGATGACTGTGTTTCAAGAAGCACTAATTAACTCGATGGAAAAAAAAAGAGAAAACGATCCAGATATGAACTTTCTACTAAATATTTTACCGGAAATAAAGACAATGTCCCCAACACAGAATTTTGAATTTCGGTTCGAAGTGATGAAAATTATTAAAAATATAAAATATAGTGTACATAATAATTATGACGGTGATATGATGCAAACTGGATGGACGAATGCCTACCAGTACCCACATCAGTATGGCTATGCGAGTGGAAGCAGCAGTACACCAAATGTGCAAAACTACCCTCGAAACAGTCCATCACATAGCTCTACAGGTTCTTCAGCGGAAGTAGAAGACATAGAAGCAATATTGCGAGGCGATTCAAATCACATTGAAGATGAGGAATGACTGGTTACCAACTTAATGTTACCATAGTTGTTCCTAATTCAATTTAATAATACAGTACTTTTGAAAAGTGATTGTTAAATTAAAAACTATAAATGCGAAAGTGACTTTGTATTAAAATAAAAATAACATATTTTTTTTTAAAATCCTAAAGCGTTAATTATTTACTTACCTCAAAGTTATAGTAAGCCGTTCTTCGGGACATAATGTATCTCTTGTGATATTATTTTTAGCTATGTACTGGGTTATAGATTTTAACAATTCATCAAATGTATGAGAAGTCATATTGAAATAGTCGTAAAATTTTTCTGGATGTTTCCTTAGTTCTGGGTGAAAAGAGTGTGAAATTGTCCAATGCTCAACCTTTTCTTGTATAATGGGTGAACCCAGTGCTTCCCTTTATCCTCTTTCAGCGCTTCTAAGATACCAATTACTTCAAAAATATCCATCGTGACCAACACAACCACTCCCTTCGTACAACAAAAGTAAAGTGATAATTAAGTCGGTCGGCTAAATAAGCGGCTAACTCTTAACAGTTTGCTTGCGACGCACGAAAATTGATTTGAGTCTGCAGCTAACTAAAATTTCAGTTCACTGCAAATTTGCGGCTCACTCAGTCAGCTGCTAACTGTTTGCCTACTGGGGACGCAGCCTAATAATAATTTTAGATTTGGTATTCCACATCAGCAACAAAGTCAAAGATTTGTTGCTCAAAATAACTTTAATAATGGCCCAAGATTTAATAATAATACGGGACCACAGAAATTTAAGTTTGGTGTTCCAAACCAGCAATCTAACTTTAAATTTGATTTCACCCATGAATAATCATGCGTGACCCCCACTAGGTTTTACAAATCAACCTCAAAATAATTTAAATTAGGTATACCCAATCAGAATCTCCAAAAACAAAATTTAAATGAAAATACCGATGTCTCTATGCTTACCGCACGTCCGCTAAGACAAAATATGCTAGATGACTCTAGGGTTCCCCAAGATAACGAGATATTCTATAATAACGAACCCGAAATACCAGCGGAATATTATAACCATGATATAAATTACTGTAATGAAAATAACTACACATATTATTTAGAAGTGCCCCAATTTGAAGTTAAACCGTACAGTCATATAGAAGAAGCAAGTTACACCCCTGATATAATTTCGAATGATACTGAAAATTTTCAGATAGATGCCTCCAATTCACCCTCGAAATAATACAAATAAATTGTGACACAATTTTAAAACTCCCACATATCGAAATACCGGAAATTCAGGCTCGCTTTATGATAGATACCGGAAGCACGCGATCTTTTATAAGTCCCGTTAAGGCAAAACAATATTTCTCCGCTTTCAAATTATATGAACCTTTCGAAGCCATAAGTACGCATGCACGTAGCCAACATAACGAAGCTATATATATCCCGCTCTTTAAAACATTTAAAAGTTTCGAAAAACATAAATTCTATATATACGACTTCGATAGTAGATACGACGGTTTAATATGCTCGGATCTTTTAAAACAACTTGACGTTTCAATACATATGAAAAACTAAGTATTGCACACACGTGATACAAAAATACCTATTATATATAGCCCCCCATACGAAATCACATTGGAACTAAGAACGGAAACGCGAGTCAAGGTCCCAATAGATATGCAAAATGGAAATGCAGTAATAGATTATGTCGATTTTTGTCAGGGTGTTAGGATGTCAGGCGCTATAGTAAAATGTGTCAATTCATTTGCAGACACGGTGATTATAAATGCATCCGACGATAGGGTTACCATGACGTCCTCTAAGCCCCTAAAAGTAATCAAAGAAATTAAAAGATTACAAAATAAGGACACCATATACTCTAAGCCCCTAAAAGTAACCAAAGAAATTGGAAAGGTTACAAAATAAGGACACAATTTTATCTAAGCCCCTAAAAGTAACTAAAGAAATTAAAAGATTACAAAATAAGGACACAATATCTATAAAAGGCACGAATGTTTGGAGAAATAAAGATAAAGTGCGTTACGAAAAGGCAGAGGTCATAGGAGATTTTGTTAGGATTATAGTATAAATAGGTAAATAAGGCCATCAAGGATATAAAACGTCCTCCACAGGTTCATTCTGTTCCTGCTGCGAGTCTTCAGGACCCAGGCCCTTCTACTTCAACCGATTGTCCGAAATTCCGGCATACTACCGATAAAGGAGGGACAAGCTCTCATTAGTAACGACGGAGTGGTCTTTAGTTAAGATATTAGACTTAAGCTTAATACATGAGGATCTATCATTTAATAAGAATCTGTACGATAACCTAAATGCACATGTGACACGTTATTTTGGTAAAAAAATAATTAACTCTGAAATAAATAATTTCGAAATTCAAACAGATTATATTCAAAATATAACAATTGAAAAATTAAAGCAACTATTACCATCGAAAAGGGCTAAACGCGGTATTCTGCATCCTCTCGGGTCTCTTATTAAAATTGTGACAGGTAATTTGGACAATGATGATGCCATAAGGTACGATGCTTTAATAAACGATGTAAAAGTAAATCAGGATCAGCTGAATAGAAAAATGACTGGTCGCCGAAAAGATAAAACCTTTATTAATGTTACAAATAGTGCAAAATTCAATTTCATACAGCTGGATAAAACTCTTTGGAAAACGAGAAAACAAATTAATATAACAAATAACTCTCAATCGGAACTTAAAATATCTAACGTATATAACCTATTTCTACGTAACTTTCAAACTATATATATCAAACTGGATGAAATTGAAACAGCGGTAGCTTTTAGTAAACTAGGAACATTGCTTCAGTCCATTATTGACACCGATGAACTCTTGTTATTGTTAAAAATTATTGAACGAAGAAATAATCTTGTATTTCCTGTAAAAATAGAAAACATTTTAAAATTAGAGCAAAGTATAGATTTAAAAGTATATGCAAAAGAAAATCAAGTAACCTTTATTCTAGATATACCCCTAGTTGATTCAAATACATACATATATTAAAAAATTCTTCCTTTACCTAGCACTAATTCCATGAACCAAAAATCCCTAATTGTACCCAAATACCCCTTCCATCCCTACCTTCTGATGAAAGGGTTGAAAGCGGTGTCACTTCTTCACCCATGTAAAGAAATTGATGACTCACTGTTCCTGTGTGAAGAGGATTCTTCATCCGTGTTAATTAAAGATAATTGTGTTACCAGCCTAATGAGTTTTGCAGCTAACACCACCCAATGCCGGCCCCTTTTAATAGAGTTTGATGATGTAAAGATAATGAAAATAGAAACCGATCGATGGATGTTCTATTCAAAAACTACAGTATTACTTACCAAACAATGTGGAAATGAAGTATCACACTATAATTTAATTGCGGCATATATAATCTCAGCCGACGACAACTGCGAAGCTAAAATCAAGGGATTCAGTCTGAAAAGGCATCATGAAAATATAGAGGAGTACCCGTTAACTCCCTTACCAATACATCTTCAAATCCAGCAGTAGTAAACCTGGATGACGTGGACATGACCAATCTACAGCAGCTAAACCACTTATTAACCAGTGATAGTGTAAAAAGTGAACAAAGCGAAAGTGTCATAAATGTGAAGGACATAAGTATTGGGACATTAATTCTATATGTAATTTTAGTTATAATTATTGTAATCCTATGTAAGAAATATTTGTATCGAAATTATCGGTCTCGGAAAACTTCGCCCGGTAATTTCGAATCTGAGGGGGGAAGAGTTATGCATCCCGGTATTCACGGAACTGCACCGGAGACAATAACAATTCAAGCGTAAGCGTGGGCGTAGATTGCTGCATTGCGTATGGAAGACGGGTGGTCTTTCGTGTGAATACTGACAACTGTTCTTTAGCTTAAAGATCTAAAATAAGAATTAGGATAGTCTTAGTTTGGCTCCCACATGTATCGGACATGTAACCTTAAGCTAGAATCCATCGCGGATTAATTAAGTAGTATGTATATAAGTAATGTATCGCACATTAATAGTTGTAAGTTTATTAATAAAATCTTTTTAAAAACGTTCTGAGTCAATTTCGAATCTTGACTAGGTATTTTATTTCTAATATTGTATTTTGATAACTTAAAGATTTATGTTTGTTAATTAAAGATATTTTGTTAATTCTTAACTGTTTTGTTTATGCTATCACTGCTGATAGATCAGATAATTCTATTTCATTTCTAATATTATATCTTGTAATTAATTTAAAGCCTTAAGTGTGTGACGTAGTACCTAAGGATAAAAATAAAGAATCCTACAACTTTGAGTATGCTTTGTTGAGTATGGTGCATTTTTAACACTAATAATAATATGTCATTAATGTAATATTATGTCATCATGAATAAAACCATTTTATTTTCGGAAACTGATTTTTATTTAAGCACTTAAGGCGGCGGTTCGTGCCGCGACAGAGACTGCAGACCGAGACAGGAGACCGAGACCGGGGACCACGTCAAGAGTCTCGGTCTTTTCTGCATGAACTGTTGGTCGAGACCGAGACCGGAGATCGCGTTAAGTACTTCGATCGCGATCGCATCAGTATCAAGAGTCTGCCGATGAAATCAGTAGTGTTTTATGTGGCATGCATGATGGTTAACCAAGTTGTAAAACTTCTATTGGAGGAAGAAGAAGACGATAATTTGCTCTTATATTATTTTTACAAAAACAGAACTTACCTTTATGAATTTACCAATTAATGAATTAATAATACTTATAAATCAAGGCGTTTCACAGTTTTCGTCAGAAAAAGTATTTTTAAACACTAAAGTCATGTGCTTTTTGAACGAGACACGAGACACTACTCGTCCGGGGCAGCGATTGTGTCGCTGTCTCGTCTCTCGCATATCTTTCTCCTGTGTCTAGCTCGCAAACTGCCGTTCATATAGTAACAGTCGCAATTTCCCGTCACGATCTCCGGTCGTGTTCTCCTGTCTCCGTCGCGGCACGAACCGCCTACTTTAAGGTGCAATCACCTTAATTCAATTTTTAATACAACATGTGAAGTGCAACGTTGTTTAAAATTATAATGGTCTTATACCTAACCGAATTCATTAAAAATAACCCTATTTATTTAAGTTAATACCATAAATACCATTGTCATAATAAGATAGGATTGTTTCAATGTACCTGAAAAATTAAACTGATAAGTAAAAATATTTAGTTTTCAAACTTTTTAGAAAGGTTAAAAGTCCCTGGTTATAAAAATAGACCGGATTAGCCCCCAAAAAAGATTTTAGGGAGTAAAACGTAAATTAAACCTTATTTTTATAATGTTACAGAACATTTTTATTCATCATCTGCATCTACTTGTTTACAAATTGCATACCTTGATAAAACGGCGTAACTCGAGGCAAATTTGCTAATAGACGGATTTGCCCGCAATCCTCGGGAAAATCCGTCTAACGAACGACTTAAAAAAATCTTGTTAGTTACGTGTGGAGGGCTGTTTTTTGTTTAAAAGAGATGTGTATACAAGACAACAAAATTTTGTATCGCTTACAACCATCAAATTTATATCAAAGTTGTAAGTGTACCAGTTTTAGTTAACCAAATTCAACTTTCAAAAAAGTATGACGGATTTGCCCACATTGACCTTATCTTATTAAACCCTAAAAATACATCGAGTGTTAGGTAGCGTGAATGAGTATTATGAAGAAAGAAAAACGCATTCTCACTACACACTAACCGATCAGCCACTAGCATGGAGTAGGGTAAGGTACCCAATTGGAAGCATCACCTTTCACATAAATCGTGAAAATTATCTTTAATAAAAAGTCAACTATTTCATCGCTTTCATAAATTTTTATTTGTTTATACCAAATAACACGATTTTCCTAATTACTGGCATACTTTGGCCGATTATCTGAATGGGCCAAGTCCTTTTATTGGCATTTCAGATTAATCAGTAAATAAAGGAAAATTGTCTATAGAGGATAAGGATAAAGTAACAAAGCCTATCTTATAATCACTTTTATGTATGCAGCTACCTACTTAGACACATAAAAATGAAAACAAAAGAATTAATGCAACCTCTTCATCAATCATTTGGTTCATACATTATCAAATCAATATTCAGTAAACTTTTAGAAAAAGAAAAAATCAATGATCACTCAAAACTATCAATAACTTAAACGTCAGAGGTATCAAATTCAGTCAAAAACTTCGCTATTTCAGCATCAGTGTATACCATCCTGTTTTGTTTAATATTCTTATTTTCAGGAATTACATGTAAAACTTCTTGTGAATTGTCCGATAAACGGTCATCATTGCCATCATTAAAGTCTTCTGCTGTTATAATAACTCCCGAGGCAGGTGCAGGTACGCAATCAGAAAGCTCTTCTCTCAAGTCTTCTCTTAAAATAACTAGCATGTTTTCAATATCCATTGCATCTAATTTCAAATCCGCATCTTGTTGACTGGAAGTATTGTCTTGTTGTAAAAATTTCCAAACTTTTTGCAAATAGTTTTCTTCTGGTATTACTTATACGTATACCTAGTTCAATTTGACGCATTTTGCTTGCTCATATAATATTCCTAAAGTCTTCTTTAGTCATTGCTTTTGGTTCGTAATCATTCTTTTTTTAAAAGTTTCTGCTTGCAGAATATTTGCCTTCCCAAGATGTTTTATATAGTCCACGGCTTTAATATTCCATGGGAAAAGACCTGTAGCTCTAAATCCATTAACAACTGTTGATGCCGAGATCGTGTTTTTGATAGTTTTGTCTAGAAGAGGTACGAAATTGTTCTTAGTGAGAGCCACAGATGGATTATTTCGCCTCCACTCCAAAACAGTTTTCTGCCAACCAGATTTCAATAGCTTGAATGCTGACACATCAGCTGGCTGCAGTAATCTGGCACAGTTGGGGTATAATGCAATCAGGACAATTTCCAATTTCTTGCATAGCTCACTAACAACAAACGTTAAATGGGTCCTGTGACCGTCGACAAACAATATTATGGGGAATCGAGTGCCTTTTTGTGAGTGAGGGTGTAATACACTCTCTATGTAATTGTGAAAGACTTCGGCTTTCATCCACCCGTTGTCGCTAAGCCCTATACCCTAATTTGCGGTACCTTGCACGTAATGTCAGCTGATGACGCTTATTCGGAAATATAACCATTCGTGGTGTGAGATCTCCGACAGCACAAAATGTGAACATTACAGTTAAGGAAGTTTTGGCGAGCACATTGTCTACCTCATACACATTTTTTTCGCCTTTAAGGGCTAATACAATTCCCGTTTTGGGGCATAGAAGAAAGTTGGTCTCTTCGCCATTAAATATTCGGGAGAAATCTGCGAGTATATCAAATTAATCGTTTTCTTTAAGTTAATTTTCAATTTGACTGAACCAGCCTTTCACATCATTTTCTGACACAGGAGCACTGACTGCTGTGACTGCCTCAGTTGTGCGTACAGAAATTTTTGGGTGTCGTTGAAGAAATAATTTATACCACTTTTCGCCATTCTTAAAAACGCTGGCCCTGTTACTATTTTTCAGAAAGTTCGATACACTGCTGATTAAATCATCTTTGCGTTTTGGAAAACCTTTTCTACAATTAAGTAAAATCCAATCTTCGAGATCTTTTTCTTCCTTTTCCGTCAGAATAGTAGGAGGGCCTGGACGCGACCGGTGCTCAGGATTCTTAATCCTATATTGCAAAGCAGCCCGCGGCAATTGATAGGTCTTTGCTGCCAATTTCTTACTCATTCCTTCTTTGACAGCTTGTAGGGTCTTATTTAAGTTTTCCGAGTTGTATTTCTTACGCCGGCGTATATCTTTGGCTGTTTTTTTAGAGCTCTTAGTTTTATTTTTGATTTCATGTTTAGATAAATCGGGTAGTCTGAAAATAAAATTGTTGGCTAGATCAGCGGTCCGCAACCTTTTTGATATTGCGACCCCAACGACCTCAAAAAAGAGTTATGAGCGACCCCAGAAATAAAATCACTAAATTAACAAGTGCAAAGGTTGGTTCAGGTAACGAAGTTAGCTGTTTTTATTTCGTAAATTATTTGTAATGAAGAGTTTATTTATTTTGGAAAGTAATATTAGAGCAAACTAGAAAATATGCATTTAACATACGAGTAATATTTATGATGGTATTAAATGAGACAAGCAATTATTTTAATATTTTATTTAAAAAAGAAGGTACATATACGTAACCCTACAATCTAATGTGAACCTTCCGCTTGCACACTTGCAGTCAGTATATTAATTCTTGGTGATATATTATCAGAAACAGACACCCTCAAATCAGGTTCTACGTTAAGTCTGGAGCGATATTTTGTTTTTATAGCAGTTAATGTGGAGAAAGCTGTCTCGCAAAAGTATGTAGATGCGAATGGAAGCAATTTCAGCAGAGATGTTTTGAATAACAGTGGATATTTTTTTCCGTCATTATCCAGAACTTGGATAGATCAGTGGTTTTGAAAATAGATCGAAGGCTTTCATCGGACATTAAATCGATCAGCTGCTTCTTTTCTTTTAAGTTCATCTTCACAGTGTTAAGATCACAAATGAATGGATTAATTATCCATTGGTCGCCGTGTGACGTATCTGGGAATCTTATTTCCAAGTCTTGCTTAAGGTTTGTAAGATGCATCATGATTTTGGTTTTAATTTCTTCTTCGAGATTTATATTGTTTTCTTCAGAAAATTTTTCCAAACATGCAAACATCTCGTAGTTTTCAGCACTGATTTCGTCTATGCACAAACTTATTTTCCTACACATTATATATTTGTATAATACATTTGTACTCTTCCTTGCAACGATTCATTTAAATCGTTAAGTTTTTCAAAAATATCCGAAAGATAGCCAACTGTTGCCAACCAATTTTCATTCAAAAAATATTCCGCTAGCTTTGGTTCACGTTCAAGTAGAAATATTCTGATTTCATCTTTGAGATCAATTACACGTCGGAGTGTTTTTCCTCGCGATAACCACCTGACCTCCGTAAGTAACAGTAGATTTTCGTATTCTGATCCCATTTCACGACACATTATTTTGAAAAGGCGACTGTTTAATGCGCGAACTTTAATAAAATTTATTATTGTTAGGACTTGTTCCAACACTTTATTTACATCTGGTTGCAAATGTTTTGCTGCAAGGGCTTCACGGTGAATCATACAGTGAACAAAGCCTACGTGAGGTGCAATCTCAGTTACTTTTGCTTTGAATCCTGTTTTGGAGCCGGTCAATGCAGCTGCGCCGTCTGTACACACAGATACACAATATTCCCACTTTATATTATGGAGTTCAAAAAAGGTATTAACTGCGTCAAAAATTGCTACACCGGTTGTTCTTCCTTCTAATCCCTGACAAAATAACAAATCTTCGCATATGTCGTTTTCATATCGGTATCGGATAAATATCAGAAGTTGAGCTACATTAGCTACATCAGTGCTTTCATCCAGCTGAATAGCATAATAGGGACTCCCTTTCACGCGATCTATAAGTTGTATTTTGATATCATCAACAAGTAGATTGATACGACGATGAATAGTGTCACTTGATAGTGGAATTATTTTCAGTAAATTGGCATTCTTTTCTCCTTGCATGATCGAAACCATTGTCATTTCAGCTGGCAAAATGAGCGTCTCGCTAATTTTGTGAGGTTTTTTAGTTTTGGCAATCAAAAAGGAAACCTCCCAAAGATGCTTGTAAGGCTTTTTGGTTAACTGTTGTGTATTTTTGGAAATCAACCTGCTGTGACTTTAGTTTGGTGGCAAGTCGTTTAAAATAAGATTCATCTTTATTTTTTAACTGTGGATGTTTAGTTTCTAGGTTCCTTTTCAGTTTGGCCGGCTTCATGCTCTCATTTGCCAAAACTCCTGAACGAACAACGCACTGTGGACGTTGTTCAAAATTCAACACTGTACATTTAAAACCAAACTGGATGTACGATTCTTTAAAGATGCGTTGACGCTTCCCAGTTGTCTGCGATGTAGCTGTTGCTTGTTTAGTTGAAGTTGAAGCGTCACTCTCTGTATCGATGTGTAAGGTAGATGTGGCTATTGAACTACAATCATCGCTGTTATGACTAATAGTTATAGTAGTGGAACTAGATGTTTCTCTGCTTTCATCGATAGTAATAACACTACTAGTACTTGAAGTGGTGGCATTGGTCTCACGACTTATAACAGTAGTTGTCATTGTAGAATCTGAGGCGACACTGCTGTCAAGAACTACGTGTTTAATTCTTTTGATTTGTGATGCGTTATTAGGACTTCCGCCACCTGCATCTGTAGATGTGCGTTTTATTAGCCACTTATCCTTTGTTAACTGCAATAATAAATACGTATTAATAAATAAAAAATGTATTCCAAACGATTAATATTAGATTTTTCGCCATATGCTCGCGTGGTAACAGGATTTACTTCAAATCTATTTTCAACGAAGCACAAATACACAAGCAAAAAAGTGGCCAAGTGCGAGTCGGACTCGCCCATGAAGGGTTCCGTGGTAGCAAGTAATGATATGACTGGATGTTAGTTGTAACTTTGTTTTTCATAGTGTTTGTATGAATGACAAACATGACTTGACGAAACTATAAGGGTTCATTGTTTCTCAAACGGAACCCTAAAAATACATAAGTGAAGCGTAAAAAATATTTCGCGCTGGTTTTGTTATTGAACCCACGCATAGATGACACCTCACTTTATTTTCCACGAGAACACTAATCTTCTAAAAAAACTTTCTACAGAAGTAATCTTCCGTGTTTTGACATCAATTTAGTATGTATTTGCAATCGACAAAGCGGCGATGAGTACGCACGTGCGGATAGAACTGACTGAACAGACAGACTGAACGAAGAAAGAGCGATCGGGGTGGGGGCGCGGGCGCGGGAGTGGTGAGGTTGTGACCGGCGGGACTGGACAGGTCGTACAGTCGTAATTATTTTCGATTCTCTCCGTTTTAAGGACATTGTGTAATTGTGTATGTAAAGAGAGGTTATATTTTATGCATAAACCTTAATAAAATTCGATAAATACACGCCCTTTTCGACTTTTTTGGCGACCCCATAAATATCTTTCGCGACCCCACACGGATTCGCGACCTCAGGGTTGAGGACCGCTGGCCTAGATGACATCAATGATTACCATACTTGTGCCTTATTTTGGCCCTAGTGTCAATAATTAGTAATTTCGCGGTTGGCACGGGGCCAAGAATTGAAACCGTTGTATTTTTTACTTTTATATAACAATCATACAAAAAATGTTGGTTTACTAATATATAAATGCACAAAATAAATACCTAAAAAAAATAACTCTAAAAAACCAATTATAAGTGAAAACTAGAATATAGACATTTTTGGATACCAAATGTTGGCACTGGGATGAAATAATAAAAACAATGCAATTCTTGGAAATATAAAAGGTCAAATAGGTGGAATAATACGTACTAATTTGCTTTAAATCCTAACATGCATAATAAATACTTGATTACTAAGATTCAATGATATTAGGAAAGCTCTTATCTTAGCAAAAAAATAATTTTCACCGATCAAGTCGAGAACCGTTCACCTGTTGTCAGTTTCGGCGCCATTGTCATTTCTTTTTTTTTTTCATGAGTTGCCAGTTTAGTATCTCAGAATTTTACTACTCTGTTTAAATAAGTTGCAACACCGTGAGATTGGGTGGATTCTTATTAAATAAGTTTAAACACAGAAGTGCCAATAATTAGTGTGGTGCCAAAATTAGATCAGTCTACCCTACTATAACTAAAAAAGGAGTTCACATGCAGTAGTGTGAAACTTTCGAATGAAATGAAATCTATTTATAAAAAATCAATTGCCACATACTAGCAGGTCATCACATGAGGACGGCTGGACCGATTTTGATGATTTTTTTTAAGTATGTATATGTTTTTCTTTTGCCGAAAAGTGGCCGCGTTCGGTAATCACAACTCAAAATACGTAACAAACATTTAAAATTATCCTCCATATAGTTACAAAAATAGTGAATTTGTTTAATAAGTGTTTCACGTTAATTAACACACTATTATTAATAAGTTTCATTATGTTTTCTTATTTTTACGTACAATAAAAGACTCAACAAATACAATAGTAGCAATTTCTAAACGTGTCATTCGTTTTCATTCGTTCGTTTTAATATTGTGTTCTAAGCGTAGACAGAGAAACCTATAGACAAATTGACGCCTTCTTCCGCATTCGCACACGAAAAAGATAGATTTATGCACACGTCTTGTATAGAAATGAGACAGAGCGGTGTGATTGTCCCTTTCTCCGTGCCGGTTTTTTATTTAGCAAACTACACTTCGCTAAACCACTTTGACAGTCCGTAGCGATCTAAGAAGTTTACAAGTTGGTTAAAGTGAGAAAAAAAGTGTTTTGTGAGCTTAAGATTGGTAAATCTTGTTCAGTTCAGTTCTTAGAACAATTAAATAAACCAGGCATGTTTTTAAAAATGTTTGAACTAAAACAACACCGTCCGTATTTTTTTAATGCCGTCAAATAACAGCTTCCCTCAATCTTTACATAAATCATTGACTTCAAATATCTGTAAAAAACTTATTTCATGACATAGATGCCTGAATCATGTTACATTAGATTGTTTACACATTACTTTAATAAAATAAAATAAAAAGTAAATGATTTGTCTTTCAAACTGGCCACAATTTACAACTAACTCCAAAATTTTGGGTTTTGTCATCAAAAATCATTAAAGTTTGATAAAAAAAAATAATAGTCGCACTTCGTATAAGACAAGTTGGGTCAAATGGTTCTGAATAGCCTATAATAGCTCCGCTTTATGTCTTTGCATCGACCTTCCAAACATCCTGTATATTGATGCCTGTTTAAGTAATGAATATTATGTTTATTTCTAAGGAATGGTGGGCACAAGGCGACTGTGGTATATTAGAAAGTGGAAGGAGTTAAGTGATTTACTTAACAGCCAATGAATTGGAGAGTCTCGAAGTGAAGAAAAGTGGCGAAAAGTAAGTTCCAGTTTCATTATTCCTAAACATTCATTACAAATCAAGAGCGCTTACATAGAGTTTTAAAAGCAAGGTTGATTTTGTGTAGTCAAAATTTTAAGTTAATTATCGTTTTATTTGCTTTGCTAAAGGTGTGGAGTGATTGAAAAAACAATACGAAGAGGAAGTGGGCAAAAATTAATAAAACTGCTCATGGTACTGGTGGTGGGCCTGCCTTAAAAAGGGTTTGGAGAACAGGGTGCTGTCAGTAATGGGTGTCGAAGTAGCAATTGCGATGTCCATAGCTGAAGTTGGTTTTAGCACGGTTTGTTAAACTTTTTTCATGAAATCAATATCAAACTAAAAAAGGCATTCATGTAAAAAGTTACTGTTGCGTTTATGTAGCAACATTAAGATATAATTATGCCGTATGGCAACATTTGTTTGTTTGTAGCAACACTAAGATTTCATGTAAAATATATTAGCCGTGTGGCACTGGGTTCTAACAGATTCACACGATTACATCGCTCTCAAGATTTTTAGTCTTTTTTATTTCATACAACCAAATATCGTTTAATATGCATTAACCAGCGCAACATTGGTCCTTCGAGAAGTAAGGATCCAACGTGAGACGTGTGAAATACAAGAAATTCGCCAGATTGAAGTGGCAGCATCGTGCTCAGCAAACGGCCCGCCATCGTCGAGTACCAGACAGTGGCTGTAATTCTATTAATTCGGCTACGGTATCGACGTGAGTGCATACTCCGGGGATGCTGGCCAGATAATTCCTCGCGATCTAAGAAGAGGGACAGCGTTTCGGCGTAAAGAGTACGTGGTTGAAGACGGCAGTGTGTCGGCGAGCTCGCAATTTAGTCTAGGCGAAAGTGTGGCTTCGCGAAAACGGCAGTGTGTCGGCGATCGCGCTATTTAGTCTCGGCGAAAGTGTGGCTTCGCGAAATCGCCTACCTGCTTACCTTTCCAGTTTCTCGTTGGATTCTAGAAATAAATAAAATAAAAGGCGTCAAAACAAGTTGACGTTACAATAATTGCCAAGAACAGTGACATTTTTTAGTGATAATTGTGTAATTCACGTAGAGCATTAGCAATTGTCGTTTCTACTGTGTTCTAGCGATATATTGTAAAAAATACTAGAAAATGGAGCTGTCGGAATTGGTTTCGGCTAGAGGATATACTAAAGGTAATTTAACCAGACTTTTTAACTTTGTTTGCAATGATGAAAATGTAGCAAATTCTTCAAGCGAAGCGTTATTAGTAAAAAATCCGTGCTTTAGAATTATTTTCCGAATACGAAAGGTATAATTTAAAAATTTTAGGTTTGAATGAGCAAGATAAAGAAGATGTCTCCGTTGTAGAGGAGCACTGTTTCCACATCTTAGCTTTTAAAAAAGCGCGAAACAAAACAATCAAAGACCTATACGCCGACGTCTGCTCCAATTTCTAAGTTGAAATTACCACCCATTAATGTACCGATATTTAGTAGTAAGTTCACAGAATATGTATCTTTCATAAATCTTTTCAACTCTGTTATAGATGATAATGATTCAATAGGTTGTATACAAAAACTGTATTATTTGTGTGCATATCTCAGGGATGAACCCCTGAATTTAATAAAAAACTTACCTTTAACGCAAGAAAGTTATGTAAAAGCACTCGCATTGTTAAACGACAGGTACAATAATAGATTTAAAATTATTAATGAGCATATAATCTCCATTTTGGACCTGAAACACCTTAACAAAGTCAACAGCTAACAATTTAAGAGAATTTGTTTCAAATGTTAAACAGGAATTTGCTGCCTTGACCAATTTAGATCCAAACGTTAGATATTGGGATGCTATATTTTGTGTGTACTTTGTCGAAAACTAGATTTATACACATCGAGAGCGTACCAGTTTGAAAGGGACACCAAGTCAGACCCCACCGTGGAGGACTTTCTCAGGTTCGTAGAAAAGCGTGCTCTGGCATTGGAAAATGCAGAGCCGACCCATGGCCAGCTACAACAGCAGCACAAGGAGGTAAAGGAGCAGCGTCCAGGCTCATCTACGGGCAAACTGGCAGCATACACTGCAGCGCAGGAAGCTTCAAGTCTATTCTGTAAGTCCAATCATAAGTTATACTTGTGTCAAAGCTTTCAGTTATTGCCTGCTAACCCCTTGTCTGTGCGTCGACCAGCAGTCGGCACGTCAAATTATTTGCGCGTCTGTGAGCCGACCAGCAGTCGGCATCGTTTCCTGTTTATGTTTTCGCGCTCTTTACGACGGAACTACGATGCGTTTTTTAGGTGCGACACTTGAAATCATAGACTAATAATATATACTCAGTGTCAAACTGCTTTACTGTTACTCTTTGCTCCGTAAAAAAAAAATATCGGCACTTCAAATTGGACGCTGTCAAACCAACCGACTCCGGTTTTGTCACGCCTTTGATAAGTTTTCTTGAATCAAATTTGTTGTGATTTGAAGGAGAAACCATGGAAAGGTAAGTACTTTCACATTTTTATTACTGGGAAACATATAATTTTGCTAATTTAATTGTAAAAACCAGGCCAAACCAACGACATAGCCGTCTAACGAACTATGAACGTACTTTTATTTCTGCAATATTTGGTCTAAAAAGTGAATAAAACCGTAATGTTTTGGAGAATTTAAGCTACTAATGTAATTAATTTGCAATGGATGACAATGGTAAACGTGTATTTAGCTTTGAAAACTTTAATTTTGGGTCTAAATACGTGAAGGTTATTTCTTTACCGTCAGTCGGCAGGGGCACAGACAGGGTTTTGGCAGTTGATGACGTCATAACGGCGGCATGTCGGGCATGCTAGAAATTATAGATACGCTTTTGTATTTTCTGTTTGAAGTTATTTTTAAATATTTTGCATGTAATGTTACATCACTTTTAATTGCATAAACATTTAGTTACTGTGGAGATATAGTGGAAGTTGCATACTTTTTTGTAGTATGTCATTTCTGTATGCTTTGTATGGTGTGCAATAAAGAATATTAAATAAATAAAATAAATAAATATAAAATATGGGAGCGAAAAAACTTAGCAGAATTTTTGTAATTTTTTATTTTTTATGTTTGCATCATGTAGAGGGCGCATATACTAACACTTTTTGTCGTAAAAAGTTTTGGGCTTGGATGAACCTGAGCAAAGATATTTAGGTATTTGAAGTACCAAGTAGGTACCAAGATAAAAATACAGCATTTTTGTTTCTTTTTTCTTTTTTCTTCGTTTGCGTCGTGTCGGGGGGGCACCCAAACAAACAATTTTTTCCTGAACAATTTTGGACTTAGACGAACCTGGGCCGAGATAAAGGCATTTGAAGAGCGTCCAAGCCCAAAATTGTTTGGGACAAAAAGTGTTTGTTGCACGATGATAAATTTAAAAATAAATAATTTTATTTTTAACTTTGACAACCAATTTTTTTTTTCAAAAAATTTCTCCAAAAATAATATTTACATATTTTCTAGACGTCTTATAGTAAGTTAAAAAAGTTACGCATGGACATTACTAAATTAGCTCTAAGGGCACCTTTTGCATTCATGTCTCGCGTATCTCTTGCATTTTTGTGTTTATTTTCTCTTTGGTTTGCATGCTTTTTGTTTTTGCTTTTTTCTTTAAAGAGGTGGACGTGGTCGTGCTCGTGGCCGTGGGCGTGGGCGTGGTGCGTACGCTGGTGGTGAAGGGGCGCATGCGCACACTGGTGGTGAAGGGGCGCATGCGCACACTGGTGGTGAAGGGGCGCATGCGCACACTGGTGGTGAAGGGGCGCATGCGCACACTGGTGGTGAAGGGGCGCATGCGCACACTGGTGGTGCGCGGACGCGTGGTGGGCCCACTAGCGGTGCTGGCCACACCGAAAGGCCTTCTGCTGTTGATCCGTAATAACAAATTTAACAACTAACAAGTTTCTTCGTTTTTTTTTTAGCAACATTAATATTCTGCATTAATATTTTAGAGTTTACTGTGGCATGGTGGGGGAGTTGCCGGTGGGGAGGCCTCTAGAGCGGCCGCTGACTCAGCGGCGACCTCGAGTACTGCCTGCCGCAAGGCGAGGGTAAGCACTTCGAAGTTGGTTTTGTTACTCGATTCACGTGCAGGGCATTGAATTTAACTTTCTTTTTAGTCCCGTGCCGGTGTCGTTGTGGTCGTCCATGGACCTCCTCACCGGCAACCACCCGACCCAGCCGCTGAGCCCTCAGGAGGACCGAGCTGCAGCGGCCCAACCAGCAGTAGTTGATATGGAGCTTTGCTCAGTTCCTTCACCTGCTTTGTAAGTTTTTACTTATATTCATATTTTGAAGCTAAACTTTTCGTAACTGGTCATAAAATAACGTATTTTTAACACTATTTATGTTTTACAGACACGTTGAAGTTGGAGGGAGTGGAACCTCCACACCTAATCGGACTCCAACGTCCCGAAAGCGAAATGCGTAAGTTTTTCCTTTATTGCTTTATTAAATATTGATAGTATTTGACTTTGAACTGTTAACTGTTCGAATATAACTATTACGATAGAAATCAAAAAACAACATTATTTTTTCAGATCGGACCACAATGACATGGGGGCTAAACGGCGTCTGTGAGTGCCTATTAATAAATATATATTCTATGTGCAGAAGTGTCTACTTAATATTTTGATTCTTAATAATTTATTTTCTTCTTTTAGAATTACTTCCTCGTCATCTTCGTCGCGTCCTCTAAGGGATATTGAAATATCCAACGCCCTTAATTATGGTAAGGGAAAATAGTTTTGCTTTAGCTGCTAATAAAAATACAAATAAAACCCGTACTGTGTTCTATAAACATCAGCTCTCATGTTACTGATTCTGTTACATAAGTAGTAACTTAATACAGTCAATTATTTTTAGAATAATTGACTGTATTAAGTTACTACTTATGTAACAGATTATTTTAAAAAAAACGTAAATTATTACAGTCGGCCAATGTGGTTATTTTATCTTATATTTTACAGGCAGCGACGAGGACTCCGAAGAAGATGGCGAAGAAGAAATTGGACTCCAATCCACCATAGTCCCCAGGGTGGTACAAATGTTCGCGGCATCGGAGGATGAGGGTGAAGGTGGGGAAGTAGACGCATTTATTTCTTTTTCCTGGCCTCCGACATCCAATGATCACCCACCTGTCCCTAACTCTTCCGGTCCCATTCCTTCCACATCCCATGTTCCTGATTATTCTGTTCCGCCTTCCTTACCTACCCATACTCCCTCGTCCCCATCCTGTCCCATGTCGGAGCCAGGAAATAAATTTGATTTTAAATGGAGGGGGGTTCCCGCAACCTCAAACTCCTCCTGAGCTGAGGAGGGAACCGTTCTCCCAGATAAACTGTGGGCCCACGGTTCCATATGCGAGCCCATATGACGCATTTACTGCCATATGGGATCGCGATATAATGGAACACATTGCCATGGAGACGAATCGATATGCACAACAGCTTGCAACGGTCATGCTGGTGGACGGTTCGCTCTGTCCGAGCAGCCGCATCACCAAATGGAAAGACACCGACGTAAGTGAATTGCACGTGTATTTCGCTATAATCCTCGCTACCGGGATTGTGGTGAAATCACGTCTCGAGGAGTACTGGAACAGCACGCTGGACATTTTCAGTACCCCCGGGTTCACTGCGGCGATGACGTATGACCGCTTCATGCTGTTGAGCAAATGTCTCCACTTTCAGGATAATGACGGTTGCGATCCTGAACTGATGACACGGGCTCAGGCCAAGTTGTTTAAGGTGCAGCCAATTTTGGATCACCTTAACAACAAATTCCAACAATTATATGTTTTGGGTCAAAACGTGTCTGTGGATGAAAGTCTGACCATGTGGAAGGGTTGGTTAGATATTAACCAATTCATCCGCAACAAAGCAGCTACAGTAGGAATTAAAACATACGAGGTGTGTGAGTCCCAGACTGGTTACTTGTGACGCTTTGAAGTCCACGCAGGCCATGATACCTCCTCAGACCCACAAGAGGACAGTCCAGTTTCTGGGAAAGTGCCAGCTCTTGTGCTCAGACTTTTAAATGGTCTTGAGCATAAGGGCCACACGATTTGGATGGATAATTTCTACAATTCTCCCGCGCTTGCGCGAGAATTGAAAGTTCGGGGGTTTGACTGCGTGGGGACCTTACGAACGAATCGTCAGTTTGTTCCCATTGAGCTGACGAATCTTACGAAAAAAGACATGGCGATAGGTCAGGTGAACGGTTGCACTTCGGGGGATGTGTACCTCATCGTATACCGGGACAAAAACCGTGTGGCATTTGTCTCGACATACCATGGGCTAGCAACCGCGATGTGCGGCGATACACACAAGCCCACCGTCATACCAGACTATAATGTCTGTATGGGGGGGGGGGTTGATCGCAAAGACCAGATGCTCGCCATGTACCCCATTGAAAGAAGGCGGAACAAAATCTGGTACAAAAAGTTTTTTCAGGAAGCTCTTGAATGCTAGTGTTCTAAATGCCTACATACTCCACAAGGCACACCGCTCAATTTCTCACCGAAATTTTCGCCAAACTTTGGTGAGGGAATTGTTGGCAGCACACACACCACCAGCACCTACCCGTGCACTGCCGAACACCTGGCATTTTCCGGGGCAATACGATCTGCTCCCGGGAACAACACGGAACGAGCACCAGAGGCGTAGTTGTTCAGTTTGCAAAAAGCGAACATCAAGCTTTTGCAAAGCCTGCAACGTGCCCCTGTGTGTGTTTGGTTGCTTTGAGTCATATCACACTTCACAGTAAACTACACAAAAACACTGTCTTACACACAAGGTATTTAGGCACTAGTATTGAAGGTCTATCTGAAAAACACTTGTACTTGAGCACACAGTCCACCTGATGGTAAGTGGATACATCGTCACCCCTGAGGACTAAGATGGAATGCCTCCTTTTCAGTAAAAAGGGTATGCCGCTATTTTAATGGGAAGGTTAAAGTAGGTAGGTGTTACCATCCAAATCGTAATGGGAAATTTGGAAAACAAAAAGCTGCACATTTATATACTATAGTTTGTATATGTATGTATGTATGTGCGTATGTATGTATGTGCGTATGTATGTATGTAGTGCCTCAGATAGAGGGTTATGTTTTTGTGATAAATTTGTTTCTAACGAGTTATAATATGTATGTTTGTCTTTTGAAATTTTGGCTCATCATAAAATTGTTGGAACCTAGGTCCGTGTCATTCATTCAAATTGCAAACGTCATTATACTGATAAGGGATCGTACGAAAATTAGGGACGCAATGAAGGGGGGGGGGTTGCTCAACCTAATTTTCAGTACGTTTCCTTGGCATTTTGTAACATATGTATATATATGTCCATGATCGGTAGCCATGTACATATATATACATATATTATGTGTATATTGTACATATTTGTACATATCGAACAATGGTAAATTATGACCAACCATGCTTGGGTATCAACATGCTGCCTAAACCTTCACCTTCAACCTACAAGCCGCCGGTTCATTTTACCTCTTGCTGTGATTCGTGAACAAAGCATGATTTAAAAATTATGTCATATTAAGTAGTATCCCAAGTGATTGTCATTATTAGACCCGTTATGTTTACTATAATGTTTCAAAATAATGAGGGTTACAAAAATCACCTATTCATTATCTTGTTGAAGACAAGTCGTATCCACACTTTGCTAGCATGTATGAGGCTAAAATGTTTAGATATTTACTACTTTCATGAGCTTGATGTTTGAAATATTTCTTAGAAACAACTTGTTTTTTTTTTGTTTAATTGATTACTAAATTTAATGTATATCTTGAAACAATAATTTCTTTTCCATTTGTAAGTAGATATTATCCAAAATAGACATGTTTTTAGAGGTACTAATTTTGGTGTCAAATTACATACCATCTTTGTTCCACTCATACTCAAATTTATATTGAATGTAACATGATTCTTTTATTTATATTTGTAGCTTATAAGCTTAAGTTGCTGCAAACAAAAGGTCTTTGTCCCATTCGCTCAGGGTCATTTTAGATAACAAGAAATGTGAGACCCTTTTTTGTTTACTTTAAGTGGAAGTATTTTTTGTGTCAACTTTGTAAACATGTGTTGTGTGAAAAAAATGTATAGGACCTTGTTAATTTTGGTTTGTATTGTAAACTTAGATATGTAATGTGTTAATTAAAATTAGTTTCAGTTTAATTATTGTTTTATTTTATACAAATTATCAAGAAATACAATAAAATTTTCTGTACCCCATATTAAGTAGTAATGTTTCTATGGCAAATAACTACCAATATGCTAAATATGTAAAGATATATACAAAATAGGTAATTAAAACCAATATTTTAATTGTAAGCGTACAGCATTCCTTTAAAAAAATCGAGGAAATCCAACTTTAAAAAAAACATATGCTTATAATATCCCTGTCTGTGCGCTTGCCGACGGTCGGCATCACAGATACGCAAAATGGCGGAAACATTAGTCACACTGTTTAGAGGTTAATAAAAGGTTACAGTTTGCAGATGAAAAGAAAATATGCCATCTATGTTTAGGTGCCCATGCAGGAAAATGCAGATTTCACTTTCGGTGTAAAGAATGCAAACAAAGGCATCATACTCTGCGATAATGATAAGGTGAATAATCAGCAGGCCGCCGCAACTATCGCCTCATTGGCGGCGAATAATTTATTAACTAATAATGTACTTTTACCCACAGCTCAAGTAAAGCTTCTCGCTCGAAATGGCACGGAGATGACTTTCAAAGCCTTACTAGATAGTGGGTAAGCTGTCCTTTATTTCTCAAAGGGCCGTCCAGTTGCTAGATTTAAAGCCCCTGCGGAGTAATATTAACACAGTAGCGATAGTCAATACTCAAGCCAGCGTGATGTACAGTGTACCAGTGGAAATACATTCATTAGTCAAACCATTCAAATTAGCGACTACTTGTCATGTAGTTGAGAATATCACATGTGAGCTACCACAGAAAAAATTAGATCTGTCAGACTTTGCGATTCCATCAAATATTAGGCTAGCAGATAAAGATTTTAATATCCCCAGTCAAATCGATTTGCTAATGGGAGCTGACCTCGAAAACAAATTGCACGAAGATCACAATCTTTTCCTAGAATATCAGAAATTTATACACGATTATTTGAATTTAAATCACGGGCACTTGGTTGACATCGGGAACTATCAACTTTGTAAGGACGCAGTGTACTTTCTGCCGCATCATGCAGTAATCAAACCCGACAGTAAGACTACTAAATTGCGCACAGTTTTCGACGCATCGCTGAGGACCAGTAAGAAAGCATCGCTTAACGATTTGCTGCTAAACGGACTGACAGTACAGAGAGATCTTTTTGATATACTACTCTTGTTCCGTTTTGGTGACTATACATTCACTACTGACATAAAACAAATGTTCCGAAATGTCCGCGTAATACCTGATCATACCTCCTTACAGAATATTCTTTGGAGAGACAGCCCTGACGAAACAATAAAGTGCATCAGGCTAGATACAGTAACCTATGGGCTAAAAAGCTCAAGCTATTTAGCTACGCGTTGTTTAAAGGAGCTCGCGATACAAAAGGAACGCAAAATGCCTTTGGCATCGTTCATTTTAAACAATTGCACCTATATGTAGATGATGTACTTTATTCAGATAGTAACTTAGATTTGATTTTGGAAGCAAAATCACAGCTTCAGCGGCTTCTCCAGATGGGCAATTTCAAGACACATAAATGGTCATCAAATGACAGTCGAATATTAGAATATGTTCCTTCGGCTGAGCGGCATTTTGACGATTTAGAATTTCAAAACGACGATTGTAGTATAAAAACTTTAGGTTTGCAATTAGTGGTTCATCAGGATAAGTTTAAAATAACAAGTCCAGAATTTTTTGATGCAAAAAACATTACCAAAAGGGAAATATTAACTTACATTGGAAAGTTCTATGACCCTATGGGTTTTGTAGGTCCTATCGTCGTACAGGCCAAGACTTTTATGCAAAAATTATGGTCCTCTAAGACTGAATGGGACGCCGCGCCTCTCAAAAATATCAAATCAGAGTTGTTAGGATTTTTAAATAGTCTTGCAAAAATGAATCCGATTTATATAGATAGAAATATTCAGCTATCTGATTCAGACACGGTCAAACTCATAGGTTTCTCTGATGCGTCAAGTTCGACTGCATATAGCTGCAGTGTGTACCTACGCGTCACTGATAACAAAGGTAAAGTACTTCTTTTCGAAATCCCGTATAAACCCGTTTCAGAATAAAAACCTTACCGTGCCACGTTTAGAATTAAATGCTGTACTACTTTTGTCTATTTTGATTGCAAAAGTTTCAAACACACTTAAATTAAAATTAAAAAAAAATCAAGTTTACTTATTCACTGATTCCTAAATAGTGCTGGCTTGGTTAAGGTCGGAAGCGATGAGGTTGACGGCTTATGTGGCGAAGAGAGTGAAAGCCATAACCAGTAAAACTGCTGACTGCCGATGGCTATATGTAAACACCAAAGAAAACCCCGCCGACTACATAAGCAGGGGTGTCAGTCCGCATGAGCTTAGTGCTTGCGATATGTGGTGGCAAGGGCCTCGATTTTTATATGACAGTAAGTATATATTTAATCAATCTATAGAGTTACCATCAGATTTACCTGAGAGCCGGTCCAGCGCAGCGATCTCTTCCAATGTAGGATCTGCAGCTCGTCCAGTAAACGACGTTTTGCAAGGTATCCACAAATATTCTAGCATCCATAAAATGACAGGTATATTAGCCTATATGTTAAGATTTATCAATAATTTAAAAAGCAGTAAGGTCTCGCATAATTTCTTGTCGAGTACAGAACTAAATTCTGCTCTAATGTTACTCATTAAGTTTGAACAAGAATTGCACTTCCATGAGGAAATTGAATATTTAAATAAAAATCAAAATGTGAAGGGTTCTTTACAAAGTTTGCATGCGTTTCTAGACAACCTGGGTATTCTGCGTGTAGGCGGCAGGTTACACCACGCAAATATTCCGTACACTCAAAAACATCAGGTGATTTTGCCTAAACAATCGTATGTCACTGAATGTATTGTTAGGTCTGAACACGAGCGTCTCCTGCATGGAGGACCTAGGCTTTTATTGTCCAATTTAAATCAGAAATACTGGATCACTAATGGTTTATTGTATGTAAAGAAAATAACAAATAAATGCGTAAAATGTTTCAGACAAAAGGCCACCGCTTCCAAACAGCTGATGGGCTCCTTGCCGGCTGGGAGGGTGACTGCGTTAAGCCGTCCCTTTGAGAAAGTTGGAGTAGATTTTGCTGGACCTGTAAATGTAAAACTTTCGCGCGTGAAACGATCCATTATAGGTAAAGGATACATTTGCGTATTTGTATGTTTTGTCACTAAGACAATACATCTAGAGCTAGCCTCAGATCTCACATTCGATACCTATCTCGCGTGCCTACGTAGACTTATATCGCGAAGAGCCTGCCAAAAGAGATCTACTCTGACAATGCCAGCACCTTTAAGGGGGCAAGGAATCAGTTGGTGGAACTGTATAAGTTGGTTTCCTCCAGAGACCACCAAAGTAAAGTCTTTCAATTTACAGCTCAGAAAGGAATTGACTTTCACTTCATTCCGAGTTATTCCCCTACCTTTGGTGGCCTCTGGGAGGCGGCAGTTAAAAGTACTAAGTACCATTTACGAAGAGTAGTGCAGGGTCACTTGCTAACCTATGAACAGTTAAATACGGTGTTGGTGGAAATAGAAGGCGTACTTAATTCTAGACCTTTGTTACCGATATCTTCAAGTGACGTAAATGACTATACTTACCTGACTCCAGGTCACTTTTTGACAGGAAACGCTTTAACAATGTATCCAGAAAATGACGTCTCAAATGTTCCACAAAATAGGTTGAAGCTATGGCGGGTATGCACGCAAATAAAACAATCATTTTGGAAGATGTAGCACAAACAATATCTCAATGTCCTGCAAAACAGACCTAAGTGGTTAAATATTTCACCCAACATCAAGATAGGTTCTTTAGTGATACTAAGAGAAGACAATGTTCCTGTAATGTTCTGGCCAATGGCTAGAGTGGTGAATACAATCCCTGGTCATGATGGCCACGTTAGGGCCGTCGAGGTAAAAACTTCAAATGGCAAAACCCATACTCGTTCAATTCTAAAAATATGTGTTCTGCCGCTAGATACATAATTCGTAGCTTACGCAATATTTTTTATTCACGGCTGTCATTATGTGAGCATGTCGCCGCTGATCGGTACTATATGTACCAATCTGTTAATTGCAGGACATGGCAATATCCTAATGGTATACCATAACGTCACGAATAATTTATTATATAGTTATATGTATAATTTCAAGTAGCTCGTTAGAGGGTTTACGCTCTAAAATATAGATATATGTGTTTGTTATTATGAGAATATAAGATTCTTAAGGTTTATTACTTAATGTTAGTTTCTGGAAAATGTTTGGTAAAAAATTCATCGTGTTGTACTATAAATGTAAAGACAGATTTTGTTGTTAACATTTTGTTTTATTAATTGTAAAGCTTGTATCTTGTGTGGCCGCAGCATGTTGCGTTTATGTAGCAACATTAAGATATAATTATGCCGTATGGCAACATTTGTTTGTATGTAGCAACAATAAGATTTCATGTAAAATATATTAGCCGTGTGGCATCACTGGGTTCCAAAAGATTCTCACGATTACATCGCTCTCAAGATGTTTCGTCTTTTTTATTTCATACAACCAAATATCGTTAAATATGCATTAACCAGCGCAACAGTTACGAACCCCTATTCTGAATTACCTTGCTGACTTTTTTAGAATATACATTAATCATCACCATTCTAGTTTAGCAAAGCTTTCATGCTTACATAAATAGAACATTTTTAGAAATCAGAAACTTTAATTTTATGAATTAATATCATAATATATATAGGTCATCACTGGCAACACGGACGTCGTCGGGAGGTCGCAAGAAATGGACGTGTCGCTAGATATTTTAAAAATACGAGTTAAAATTGCTTACCAATTTTAAATCTAACGTGAACGTAACTATATTAGTTATTGATTGTACTGCGCGAGTGATTAACAGCTTTGCATACCTACGTAGCACCACATCGGGTAAAAAAGATAAGCTCTTATTTTCTGTCTTGCTTTCGTATCGTAACACGCGACGCTCAACTATCGTGAGTACACCAAAGATCAACATGAATGTACACCGATCCCCTACTGGAAGTGACACTATTTCGGCACGATGTGGTTCTTACCCAGATCTAGCAAGCAAAATCATGTGTCAAGATAAAACTGAGTCATCACAGATAACTTTCCGCAATAAACGAAAATTAGAAAATGAAAACGACGATTTAAAGAATGAATTTGCAGAAATGAGAAAACAAATGACATCAATGCAAAACCAAATGAGTGAAATGATGACATATCTAACAACAACCACTAATATGCAAGTCGAAAATTTCAAAAAAATCAACGAGGATGTCTCGACTATAAAACAACAAATAAGCGATATTAAATTAACCACTGAAATATTAACTGAAGAACAAACAAAACTAAAAATTGAAGTGGAAAATCTAAAAAAAATTAGCAATATTACGGAAAAGAAAATAGAATCAATTCAATCTAATCTTCTACTTCAAGATACTACTCCATCATGCTCGTCCTCAGTATTGAATGCGCAAGAAGAGATAGTGGCCGAACTCAACGAACGTACTATCAGGAGCAAAAATATAATAATTGCTGGTGTGCCAGAGTCAAAATCTACCAACCTAAATGCGAGATACGAAGAAGATAAAACTGCAGTTCTAAAAATCATCAATACTGTATTGCCTGGTGGCTTCACTGAGCCACAGAAAATTTATAGACTGGGAAAATATCAATCAGGTAAGGATAGACACCTAAAAGTTTGTTTTGCATCTCAAGAAACATCAAAATTAATACTTAAGAATAATCAAAACTTAAAAGAGGATAAATTTAAGATTTTTTCCGACCAAACACCGCAACAACAGAAGTATATGATTACTTTAAAACAAACACTCGAGCAGCGCACGGCAAACGGTGAACAGAATCTTTGTATCAAATATATAAAAAGCGTATCCAAAATAGTAAAAAAGACGTCAAAAAACCTCCATTAACAGCATTCATAAACAAAATCATTGAGAATGTAAAGTCCAACAGAGTATCGTACCAAACTAGTTGTAAATATACTGATATAATAACTAATAAAAATTCACTTAAGTGTCTTTATGCCAATGCTCGTAGTATTGTCAGGCCTGGTAAATTCGATGAACTTGCGTGTGTTATACAGTCATTTCCTTATCAAATACATATTATTATACTGACCGAAACATGGATGAAATCAGAGGAGGAGGCTAAAAGATTCCAACTAACGGACTACACTCTCTACTTTAATATCAGATATAATAGCAGAGGCGGTGGTGTATCAATTTTTGCTCATAATTAATTTAAGCAGAATTTAATAGAAGAAAGCTCACATTCGATAACCATTTTCTCTGGGTTCACATAAACAAGTTTTCTCTAGACATAGGTGCCGTCTACAAACCAGAACGCACTAACAACAAAAATTTCTTGGAATATTTATCAGCACAGTTAGAACAGAAAAAAAGAGGCTTGGTATTTGGAGGCGCCTCTACACGTTGGCCACCCTGTGGCGAATGTAGTGGCCAATAGCATTGGCCAACGTGTAGACGGGGTGTTTGGGCTTCATTGGTATGTATTGGAACGATGGCCCGCAAGTTGGCGCGAGATCCGTGTGGTGTCGGTTTTTTACAAAAGATCAAAGGATTGTTGGCAGAGTTTGGTCGCCGCGTCCATACGTTGGCCGCGAGTTTAGTTTGCTACAAGCTCCCAGAGTGATTATACGCGTCTGATTAAAATTTTATATTCACGCTTTGTAGGGTGGATGACCCAATTACCAGCCTTTTAGTACCAATTTCAACTTTAAACATTCCTACTACTTTAATTAGCGGGATTTAATTATTTTTAAACATTTGTTTTAATCGATAAGCTATTTATAAAAAAAAATATAATGAACATTTATTTACAATCAGATTATTACGAGAACAATTTTAAAATGAAAAAAAAAATGAAGCACGTCGTTTATACGTGGTAGAACCATGCAGTTATATTAGAAGTATAGTTGTAGCACGAATGGGTCGGTTCGACCGGGGAAGGACCACGCTCTCACAGAATATCAATGTAAAATAGTAGCTTAACGACGACTTACGAAACACAGCATCATGTTTCGTATAGTGAGTGTAGAGAACCAGAGACACTTTTTAAAGGAAACGAGGCATTTCATCTTAGTCCTCAGGGGTGACAACGCATCTGCATTTTGCTTCGTAATCTAGGATAGATGTAGATGTCTGTGGGCCACAGCAACCACTTACCATCAGGTGAACTGTGTGCTCGTTTGTCACCCTATCCTATATAAAAAAAGCGTCGATTTCTTATAATTTAATCGTGCAAGTTTTCGAATCATCATCATCATTACAGCTCTTCACAAGTCCACTACTGAACATCCTCCTCCAAAGAATGCCGCAAAGCATGGTCCTGAGCCACTTTCCTTGTCATGAGTTATTCATTTATGTTCTAAGTTATAATTAGTACCTATTATTAAGTCAGTGTTAATTATATTTATTGCTATAGTTTTTGTCTTTCTCAAAAAATAATTAAATTACCAAATAAATTATAAGGTGTTTTTTATATACAACATCAAATGTTAATGAAAAGAGTAATTTTTGATAAACTTTACATTTTAAACATAGACTAATCGATTATACTCCTTTAACTTTAAAGTAGTTTGTATTTATTCCAGTTTCTGATGCATGTAAAGAATAAATAAAGCTAATCGTATATCGTATATCCATTTACAGCCCCATTAATATTCACTATTCTTTTATAATTATTTTATAAAAACGTTACCTCCTCACATTTTCTCCTGTATCGCGGAGGCAACTTACAAACATAAATTGCACAAGGACACACATCCAGACCCGAAACAATTATTTGTAGGATATACAAATACTTGTTCCCTGCGGGATTCAAACCCGTGACCCCTGGCACAGCCACTCATTTCCAAATCACTGCGCCACGGAGCCGTCGTCTAAAATAAAATAAATTCGTCCGCACATTAGCCCGAACCGAAGTAAACTGAACGACCTTCCAACGTGTGGACGCCGTCACCAACTCTCGGCCAATATATTCGCCACTACATTTGCCACTGTGTTGGCCAACGTGTAGAGGCGACATAAGCTCTGATGGATCAGTCGTTGAATATAAAGAAACAGTAAAAGAATGCGGTTACCATTTCTTAAACAAAATAGAAAAACGCTACAGTACTCGTGAAACAAGCAAAACCAATACATTAATAGACCATGTCTGCACAAATCTGAAACAAAATCTCTTTCACTTAGCCGTCGTAGAATCCAATATGTCTGATCATAAGCAAATATATTTGGAAGTTATAAATTGTAAGCCTGAACCTATAAAATCAATTGTGTATCAAGCAATTGACTATGTAAATTTTACAAAACTGTGCAAAAAGTAAATAGTTATAATAACTCGAACTTAGACTATAATGTCTTCGAACAAAATCTTATATCCTCTATACAAAAAAATAAAATTACAAAAACAAAAAAGAATCATCTGCTGAAACAAGACTGGATACAAAACGATATTATTAAAGCAATAGAAAAAAGAAATACGTTAAGGCTTAAATTCATAAGAAATCCCTCAAACAACGAAATAGAAGAGGAATTTTTAAAAGAAAAACAAAATTTAGTAAGAAATATACAAAAAACAAAAAATCAGTACTACTACAAATTATTTATGAATTGCGAATTGCGACAAATCAGCAAAAATATGGACCTTAATAAATAAACTTTCGTACAACAAAATAAAGGAAACTACGACTCCAGCTAAACTCCAGACAGAAACCACCGTGCTGACAGATCCTTTAGAAATATGTAAACATTTTAACCAGTACTTTTCAACCATCGGTGAATCCTTGGCAAGTAAAATACCGTCTTCCTTTCATCACGATAATATCTTCACTGCTAATAAACACACGGTGCTATCGGAAGACCAGATGTTGTCACAACTGAACCCTACCACTACAGAGGAAGTCCTCAAAATTATCAACACCATAAGTCTTAACACAGCGTCAGGTACAGATGGAATCAATACTAAATCTGTCCAGTGTGTTAAAAACCTAATTGCCCCAACACTTACAAAATGTAAAAATAAATGTTTGCAATCAGGTATCTTCTCATGTAGTCTGAAAATAGCCAAAGTCACTCCAATCTTTAAATCTGGAAATAGATCTAACCCTAGTAACTATCGACCTATATCAGTTCTTCCTGTGATCTCAAAGGTATTTGAGAAAATCTTATACAACCGTCTACAAACATTTTTAGAATCAAACAATTTCTTATATGACAAACAGTATGGCTTTAGACGAAAATCAAACACTCTATCAGCAATCATAAACCTTACTACAAAAATAAAACTTAATATTGATCAAAAACATATTGCATTAGGCATATTTATAGATCTAAAAAAGACTTTTGATACCGTTAGTCATGATTTACTACTTAAAAAGTTAAAACACATTGGTATCACAGGTGTAGCCTATAATATGTTAAAATCTTACTTAACAAATCGCAAACAAGTAGTCAGAATAGACAATTTTCAAAGTAAATCTAAAACTGTGACATACGGCGTGCCACAAAGATCCGTACTAGGGCCGTTATTATTCTTAATTTATATAAATAACTTAAAAGATATTGGCCTAAAAGGAGACATAACGTTGTATGCTGACGACACAAGCCTATTCTATTTCGGCCACTCAATAAATACTATTATCTCTGACGCGCAAAATGACCTTAACTTAATACATAAATGGTTCCAGTACAATCTTCTAACAATAAACATCTCCAAAACTAATTAAATCATATTCAAAGCAAAAAATAAGAAAATATTAGACTTTGAACCTCTAAAAATAAATAATCAAATTATCAAACGATCAAATTGAGAAAAATACCTAGGCTTATTTTTAGATGATAAACTTACATGGAAACCTCAGATAGATAAAATTAAATGCAAACTATCATCGATAACGGGTACCCTTCGAAGTATAGCTCGTTGTTTTCCGCGTAAAATACATTATCTTATTTACAATTCTCTAGTCAAACCACATATCGATTATCTGATAGAAATATGGGGCTCAGCTGCAAAGAATAACTTGAACCTATAACCTTAATACAAAGAGCTCAAAATAAAGTTATAAAGGTTCTATTCAACTATAACTATCTGACACCAACCCACAAAATATATAATGATACTAAGCTATTCAATATAAATCAATCGTACGTTTATCATACATGCATTCTGATTCGTAAAATAATAAATAAAGATATCCACACTTATTTAAGTTTCACTAAAAAGAGACAAATTCAAAAAGTTCAGCTAAGAAATGCAAATGATCTCATTTTACGTGCACCAAGAACTAGTTACGGTAAAAGAAACCTAGTGTTTGAAGGAGCACAATTATATAATAAACTGCCTAAAGACATTAAGGAATCGCAGTCAAATGTAAGCTTCAAAAAATTACTAAAATATCATATTATAAAATCTATAAAATAACGGTCTTACTATTAAGTTAAAAATATTAATAATAATCAATAAATATTTTAAATATATTTAAAAAGGTGCAAATAAGGTATAAAGTTTTTTTTATTGTTCATTACTAATTCGAATTAGAATAAAATATTACTAAATATGTATCTCAAGCCACTTCTTGTAAATTGTTGAGCGTAGTGCAATTATATATCTGTGATTGTATCTCTCTCTGACTCTGTGACTGTTTTTAACTGTATGTATTTGTAATGTACCCCCAACTTCTGTGTTTCTCCAGACATTGTTATAACTTATGAATTTTTATGTTCTCATGATAAGTGAATTTTGTATTCTTAATGAGAATAAAATTCTTAAACCACAATGACATGATGAATTCTTTCTCTATGAAAATATGACATACAGAAGAAATATAAATGTAAAGAACTAGAATAAGGCTAATAACTTATATTATTTTACAGGAAGAAGAATCTGGAAAAGATAACAAAACTGTTTTTTTTTACCCGCAGAGCCAAATACAGAGGATACAATAATTGTACAACCTGAAGTTACTGCCAACTACTCATATATATAAAAGATTTAATGACTAATTTGAATTATTTGTATTTATTACTTATTTTGATTTTCAAATATGATTAAATAAATAATAATCAGTAATAATAATTAATTAATATTTTATTAATTTACACTACTATATTATATTATTAATTAATACGTGATAGAGTGACGCTGCAGTTATATTATGGTTGTAGCACGAATAGGTTGACTCGAATGGGGAAGGACCACACTCTCACAGAATACCAACGTAAAACAGCAGCTTAATACTGCTGTGTTTCATATGGGCCACAGCATCAACTTACCATCCAGTGGACTGTGTGCTCGTTTGTCATCCTTATTATATAAAAAAAATCTTTTAACTCACAAATACTTATTTTTAACTAAAGGAAAAGTAAATAATTGTAAAATAAATGAAGATAATTCGGTAAGAAGTTTAAGCTTTCAATTGGTTTTTTCAGATGATAAGGACTGGAATACTCCTGACTGCAGCAACGATCCAGTAATTATACCTCCAACCAATCACAGGTCCCTCACACCACCCAGATCCCCAACACCTCTACAATCTGCCACACCGCCGAAATCTCCAACTGTCACCAGGCAACCCACCCCACAACCTCCATTCCAGCGCCGCCAACATAAGAAGAAACCACTTAAATTATTGGAGGAATATTTCTTTTTGTGTGAGGAGAATATAAGAAATGATAACAGAGAGAGAGAGAGAGAGAGAGAGAGAGAAAAGATGTTTGTAGATCTAGAACGAGAGGATTCGACATAAAGATATTGAGCTCCGTCAGCGTGATATTGAGCTACAGTTGCAAGCTCAGTGGCTGGAATTTATGCGGGGGAGCATTAGATATATTATAAAAATATTTGAGTGACAGAAAGTGAATGAATGAGAATTTTAATAGAGATGTTTAATAGAATAATGGTGGCAAACGAGCACACAGTCCATCTGATGGAAGTGGATCATGTGGCCCATAAATAACTACATTTATTTTAGATTAAAAATCAAAATGCAGATGAGATGTCTGAGGACGCTTGTGAGCTAATATGAAGTGCCTCGTTTCCAGTAAACTCACCATATGCCTTAAGCTTCTTGGCAATATACCGTGAGTAACGTAATATAATATAAGTTTTTAGTTTTGGTTTTTTATGGCAATAAATATTGCATTTATATAAGAAATAATTGTAATTTTTTAGTATTAATGTACCTATTTAGTAATGACTTGTAATGATATACATATATATTCAATAAAATATCTCATTGAAATTGTTGATGTATTTTAACACCTAAAATCTAAAATCGTAATAACTAAACATTTCAAAACGCTATTCAAAATAAGTAGATATACAACACAATATAGAATCAATTAATAATACAAATTTTGGATTCAATAGAAATAAATGTTTTCTTATTTAACACATATTAATACCTACTTTTTGAGTCATTTTTATGTTTAATTTACCACTCTTCGGACAATACTACTTTCCTAACCGCATTTTGACGGCTCCGTGGCGCAGTAGCTTAGCAATGAGTAATAGCGCTGAGGGCCGCGGGTTCGAATCCCGCACGGAACAAGTATGTGTATGGCCTACAAGTAATTGTTCCGTATCTGGATGTTTGTCCCTGTACAATTTATGTATATAAACTGCCTCCACGATACAGGAGAAAATCCTAGTGAGGTGGTAACGTTTTTTAGAAAGTAAAAACGTAAAGTAAGAAAATATTAGCTAGAAATCCAAGGTACATTTAAAAAAATTGTTTACAATGAAGTTTTATATTATATAACTAACTATACAAATCATATTAGAAAAAGCTTGGTAGCGATTACCTCAACCCCAGGGGTAATTGACATCCATTATTTCCTTAATATTATAATAACCCTTTTTATACAATATTTGCTTAGTAAATTTTTTGAAGTTTACAGTAGACGAAAGTTAAAAAATTTATGGAAATTACGAAAAAAGTAATAAATAAATCATTATTATTATTGTTAATATAAAAATTCAATTTGGGCGTAGACACATATTACATGTAGAAGAACTACCCTGTAAGTCTACGTAGTAAGTCTTATCTACAAAAATCCTCTCATAGCACGGCCACTTATTAAATCACTTTGACTATTATCACGTCTAATACATAAAGCAGTTGCAGGTTTTATCCCGATATCCCGGACGTCAGTCTAAGCGAGATTAGAATGGCTCTCCAGCACCTTAAAAACGGCAGGGCCCCAGGCGAGGATGGAATTACAGCGGAGCTTCTGAAAGCGGGTGGAACACCGGTACTTGAAGTCCTTCAGAAGCTCTTCAATTCCGTCCTCCATGGTGGCACTACTCCAGAGGCGTGGAGCAGAAGTGCGGTGGTCTTGTTCTTTAAGAAAGGCGACAACGCTCTCTTAAAGAACTACAGACCGATTTCCCTTCTGAGCCGCGTCTACGTGCTGTTTTCGAGAGTCATTACGAATCGTCTCGCACGCAGACTTGACGACTTCCAGCCTCCCGAACAAGCCGGTTTCCGAAAAGGCTTCAGTACCATAGACCACATACATACCCTGCGGCAGATTGTACAGAAGACTGAAGAGTACAATCTGCCACTTTGCCTGGCGTATGTGGACTATGAGAAAGCCTTTGATTCCGTCGAAATTTGGGCGGTGCTACAGTCCCTTCAGCGGTGCCAAGTTGACTGTCGGTATATCGAAGTGCTGAAGTGTTTGTACAGTAGGGCTACGATGGCTATCCGAGTACAGAACCAGAGCTCGAAACCTATCCAACTGCAGAGAGGTGTAAGACAGGGTGACGTTATATCCCCGAAACTCTTCACCGCTGCATTGGAAGACGTTTTCAAGCTACTGGACTGGAAAGGATACGGTATTGACATCAATGGCGAGTACATCACTCACCTTCGATTTGCCGACGATATAGTCCTTATGGCAGAATCGCTGGAGGACTTAAGCACTATGCTCAATGACCTCAATAGTGCCTCCCAACGGATAGGTCTTAAGATGAACATGGACAAAACAAAGATCATGTTCAATGTCCATGTCACACCTATGCCGGTAGTTGTTGGGAGCACTATGCTCGAAGTTGTTGACGAATACGTTTACCTGGGACAAATAGTCCGACTAGGTAAGTCCAACTTCGACCGAGAGGTCAATCGACGGATTCAACTCGGCTGGGCAGCGTTCGGGAAATTACGGCATATCTTTTCGTCAGGTATACCTCAATCTCTAAAAACTAGATTGTACAACCAGTGCGTGTTGCCAGTGATGACTTACGGATCTGAGACGTGGTCCTTCACTGCTGGCCGTATGAGGACGCTTAAGGTCGCTCAGCGAGCTATGGAGAGGGCTATGCTCGGAGTTTCTCTGCGTGATAGACTCAGAAATGAGGATATCCGCAGTAAAACCAGAGTGACCGACATAGCCCAACGGATTAGTAAGCTGAAGTGGCAATGGGCCGGCCATATAGCTCGAAGAACCGATAACCGATGGGGAAGAAAGGTTCTCGAGTGGCAGCCTCGTACCGGTAGGCGTAGTGTAGGGCGACCCCCCACTAGATGGAGTGACGACCTGGTAAGACATGCAGGAAGTCGATGGATGCAGGTGGCTCAGGACCGTGCTTTGTGGCATTACTTGGGGGAGGCCTATGTTCAGCAGTGGACTTGTGAAGGGCTGTAATGATGATGATGATGAGGTTTTATGCGTTCAGTCAGGTTGTTATCATATACATCTGCCTCTGGGTTAGGTACGCCAAATTGCATAGCTATGTTATGTAAACAACAAGCTATCCCTTAACCTGGCTATGGATTGAGCATTTCCCACCAAGATTTTTAAGAGTTTTTACCAGGTTTTGGTAAAGAATCTACCACAATCTGTCAAAAACGCCAACATAGAAATATTATTTATGGTAACACAAAAAATAAAGTGGAGCGGAACGCAAATGTCACTTTTGCAGCCATTTCATCTGTGGTCGGCGGCTAAACGAACATTTTTGTGACAAGTGCACCGTATTTTTAATCATTATGGCAAATCGGATAAAGGTGAAGGCGCATTTACATTAGTCGGTTAGACCGTATTCGGCTGAAGGCCGTATTCGGTCACCGACTAATATAAACAGGTATTCGTTTGGCCGTATTCGGTTTGGCCGTATTCGGTCGAGCCCGTTGTCGGTGTCGGCGGGCGACGGGCGCCCGCAGCCCACAGCTCAGTACAAAGAGCGCGAACCAGTCAGCATCAGCTACGAACACGTATCTTTCAGGAATATTAAGAGCATTGTTATCAATTGCCGTTTTCAAGGGAGAATGATCAAAAACACCGCCGTCTGAATCTCTGCCTTTTGTACCAATGTCGAAATACGTAAAACAATAATCGTGATAAAAAATAAAAATATAAATTTCTTCGCAACCTTCCGCTAAACAAACACAATGATGTGTCCTACCTGGATTGAAGAGCACCTCCCGCCCTCCCTCAATTGCATGCACTAACTCCGTCACCACTAGTCCCAGCACCACTACTCCCAACACCACTATTCCAGGCAAGACACACCATCGACGATAATACGACACTTATTTCGCCTCAACACGAGGCATCTTCAGGTAATGTAGACTCTACGGCGGCTGACCGCTAAGTGAGCGGGAAGCTTTTTTTTTTCGCCCGAAGCAATTAAAGGGCTACCCTATACGTAGGGAGGCGGAAAATGCATTACGCATACCACGATAGCCGGTCTATCGTGGTTATGAGGGACTCACATCCTACCGGGGAACCTAA